TGTATATTGGAATACATTTTAAATGGTTTCAGAATCGCTTACTCATACATAAATGAAACTCAATATAGTTCATACTAATGATAAGCTTAGAGTCAATTAATTCAAATAGCTATGACATAATAGCTGTTCTATTCATAAACATTTAAATTAAGCAGCTACAAAAAGAACACAGGAAACTGAACTACATCAAATTACTCCTCCGACTCCCTGAATTTTGAATAGGTCTTGAAAGGTGATCTGAAAAGTTTGTGTTACTCAAACCAATATTATACAGTTAGGGGAATGTTATGATTGTTGAGCAGGTCACAATGGGTTCTCTAGGTACATGAAGAAAAGTTTTTAAAAACGTCTATCTAAGCTAGAGCACCATTGAAAACCTGGAAGCACTGGACGGTCGTTTCATCCTAGAGCGGACTGTACTACAGTTCGCATCCACGATAGCCCGCAAGACTCGACCCTAAGACCCTCAATGTCGCGCAAACACTTCAACATTGAAAATACTGCAATCTTCTCGAATTCCCATACTGATAATAATTAAGTGCTCACCTGTGACTAGATTCAAAACGGATTTCTTGGAGTTCTAGTAAGAAACATTGATTAATGGAGTCCATCCGATGTCGATTGCGATACAGTTATCCGCCTCATTCAATGAATGAAGGGTTGAGCAAGATCATGGGTTTATTAAAGTTTGGACGTTAATACCATTTGATGCTGCCTCAGTGGTCTAAATTTTAGGCGTTGGTGCTTGAGACCAAAGGTCCTGGGCTCGAGATCTGCGTGCCAGATCGTGGCTACACACTGCTGAGGGGCCCCATGCTAGAACGAAACGGTCTTTCAGTGCTTCCAGGTTTCCAGAGGTGGTCTAGATTAGATAGACTCGTGAATTCGACTGTTAAAATTATAATCCTAAACCATTTTCCTTCAACGTTCGGTCATCCGTGGTAAATACTATTTGTTCACTTTTTTGATGCTAAATTGTGGACAAAAGTAAGACAATTTATTATTATTATTACTATTATTATTATTATTATTATTATTATTATTATTATTATTATTATTATTATTATTATTATTATTATTATTATTATTATTATTATTATTAGGTGTTAATAAGTAGTTCATCCAACTTTGAATAGTAAAATTGATTTATTTAGTACTCTAGATCAAGAACAAATCTTACCGAAGTTCAATTGAATTTATCCTGACTTATAAAAGAACATTTAAAAAATCTATATAATCCTAATTTATTGATGTCTTAATTCAGTAACACAACTTATTCCAAAAAATACTATATCTAGTTGCCAGACATTAGTAATTAAATGCATGTAATTACTAACCAAACTATTCACGTCTGAATTAATGAATCTGTGCATAATTACCATAATACTCAAGTTACTGATTTAATTCCGTTTTAAAATGATGTATTAGAGGACATTATATAATAGTACAAATGTATACATAAATGTAAATCTTTTGCTTTTACTATGAAAATTCTCATCACTTGACTAATGTTTCCTCACCGTTACTTCACCAAATTTTATAATGAAGCATATCTTTCCATGAAAAAGGATTGATGAAAATTTCATGACAAACAGATATAACTTTTGTTGCTATGACAAATTCTTGATAAGCTATTTTGCTCACGGAATGTCAAAAGTCTTTAATACCTACATTCTGTATATTTGTTATTAAAATGAAATTGACCATGTATAGTGAAATATAGACTTGACAATATTAAGATACTTACTTACGCCTGTTACTCCTCGTGAGGAGCATAGGCCACTCACCAGCATTCCCCATCCAACCCTGTCCTGGGCGATCCTTTCCGGCTCCTTCCAGTTGTTATTCATCCTTTTCATATCTGCTTTTATTTCCCGACGTAATTTGTTCTTTGGCCTTCCTCTTTTCCGCTTCCCTTAAGGATTCCAAGTTAGGACTTGTCTCGTGATGCAGTTTGACGATTTGCGCAATGTATGTCCTATCCATTTCTGTAGTCTTTTCCTAATTTATTCTTCAGCTGGAAGCTGTTTTGTTCTCTCCCACAAAAGGCTGTTGCTGATGGTATCCAAGCAATGGATGTTGAGTATCTTGCGAAGACAGCTATTTATAAATACTTGTACCTTCTTGATGGTGGTTGTAGTAGTTCTCCAAGTTTCAGCTCCGTACAGTAGAACTGACTGTCTTGACATTCGTATTAAGTTAATTTAGGCTCAAATAACGTATTGATCAACAATGAAAAATGGTCTATTGATAATAAAGGATGAAACTTTCAGTTATTGGTATGAGACTACGTGATATCATTATCTAGGCTACCCATTTAATAAAATATCGGCTAATGAGTGTAAAGTAAACAGTCTATAAAAGCTCAGAATATTCTGGTTTAATTTTATGGATGCTGATTACAAAATACTGTCTCAGCAAAGAATAAAGATTATCATCACTTTATAGGTTTTATTAACTTAATTAAAGAAGATAGATTGATAGACATTGTACCGATGAAGTAATTAACATCATGAGTTTGAAATTCTCAAAGCATATAGTCTACTGTATCTTTGTATTGTCCAAGCAGTTATTCTCTGTTTAGTATTTGACGAAGCTTATATGAATGTATTTTTATGAATGAAGCCTCGACTTATTTCTTATTTTAATAAGATAATGTACTACTTACTTACACCTATCAATCATCGTGAAGCATAACCCTCGGTTTGTAAACAGACAGCAAATGTAGGTGCCTAAAACTGAAAATATTGTCCTTCTTACTGTTATGCCTCGATAAGCATAATGAATGGTAACTTTTGGGACCCATTTATGAAGCGATACTATGCGTATATTTTTATCGTATAATTGTTATGTAACTAAACTGTTCATATTCATGTCCCTCTTATTATGAGCTTTATTTTTGTCTATGAACTATTATTATACGATCTACCATTCTTGAATTATGCCATGTCAATTAATTACTACCTCCCTCATTCACGGCCACATTTGACTAGTTCTTGTACAAATGTTATTTCATATTTTATGATACGATGTGATCTCTCTGGTTAGTATATAAACCCAGTATGTTTGAAATAAATGATTCATATCGCAGAGGCTGAGATTGGTGTTCTGCACTTAACTGGCTGGGCTAGGCGGAAAGCAGGACCAATCAGGACTCTAGACTGTTCGCATGGGTTTTATGCTTCATTGTTCCGATCGATAATTCACTGCTCTCTAATTGGCGGTATCGTTACGTTATACAATAAACAGGGCACACACGTCACAAGTTATAACACTTACCATTTCGAGGCCAGCAACTGCCTAATTTGGTTGTTTTTACTGAAGGCAGGTGACGGATCAAGTCAGAAAAAAGCTTGGTGCTTTTTAACAAGAGTCTATAAGATTCAACTAAAGTTTTTAACCGCTGAGCTGACAAATAAAGATTTAAACCATTTAAGAATTCTTAATATTCTTAAACTTGTAAATACGTTCTAATAATAAATTACAACAGTCATAAAAACGAAATCAAAAAAATTTGTTAGTTAACTTCAGACACTTAAAACTTGGTCACACTACACTACAACCTCAAGTTTCTTAGCTTATTGCGTTCACAGAAAACTTTTACCTATAACAAGATATTCATTAAATAATTCGCACACTTTTAAACTTTTTTAGATAGCTTATTTGCCGCTAACCCATCATGTTCTATATATTTAAAGAACAAAGTGCATTCCAGTTGGTTGTAAAAATTTGGACTTGTACCGTTCTATTGTTTTTTTTCGAGATTGAATTAATTACACATCTGCACTTTAATAAATGACAAAAGTGCACCGAAACAATAACATAAATACATATCAAAGTAAATTCATAAGTTCATCATATTTTCACATTAGATTCCTAAATGAAGTTAATGTTTGAGAACCTTTTAACTAGTAGTACTGCATCTCATTGCTGACGTTCACGTTCATATCAAACACTAGAAAGTTATTTTTAAAAGATATTGCACCTAGTGTGCTCCTAAAAACTTTCAAATTTAGAAAGTTTGAAAATTTTAAGGCATCGTTTTAAGGACCTTATATGCTAGTAGAAGGTGATTGACGAAAAATTGAGAATCAACAAGGATAAACTATTGACTCATACAATGTACTATAAATACCATACTCTAAATAATTTGGTAGTTCAGTAGCTCAGTAAGCAGATAACGCCTTGGTGTTTTTAATGTGAGCATCGAGTCAAGGTTTTAATGTGAACATCAACACGAGTGCAATCAAATCCAGTCAATCAGCCAGAAATAGGATAAACAACTCACAGTGGATTTCACAATTTATCATAAGAGTACCTAAAAATGTACCAATTTAATGAATAACAAAAGGTTCGTAACTTAAGAGAGAATTAAATATATTGAGTATTTTGTGTTAAAGGATAATGAAATGAAATTCGTGTTTTTCTATGTATTCGGATATTTTCTCATTAATCATTTTACGATGCTTGCATGTCTTAAAATAAATCTTTTTTATTTAGTCTATTCCTTAAGTTTCAAGGATAACTTACTTACAATTATCTATATTTTCTGGAGAACTGAAAAGTAACCAGTATAGATTCTAGCTGGAAACGATCAAATATTTCAACACTGAAGTCTTAATATGCTTACGAAAACTACTTTATTTGCTATATTGCATAAATTTTTTTTATATTGCTTTCTGAAATGTCGAAGTAGTCTATTGAAAGAAACCCTGGATTGTATTTCTCTTAGTATATATATCAGTCATACAATACCTAATGAGTGGAGTTCCGTTGTAACCTGATTGGTAGCTGAGATAAATGAAAGAATAAGTTGATCTATTCATTTATTCAATTACACTACTCGTTATATTTTATTATATGCTACCATCAACACTCTATTTGTTTGCACATGCAAATTACTTAGCTTATCTATATTACCATAGTGATGTTACATGTTGTATAAATAATACTTTGTTTAAATGCAAAATAGACAGACAGATAAGACGCTTACCTAAAGTTTGATTTTGTGAACATTTCTCTGGTTCTTATCGTTAATTTTTTTAACAGTAAACTATATTGTAACAAGACTAATCAGTATTATAAATAAAAATATTTAAATTCTTGTGAACTATAATTTTTAATTATAGAATGCTTGACAATTTTATAAAAATTCTTATCATCTTACTAAGTTTATTTACTAATTTTATATCTGTCAATGGATTTTCAACAAAATTACGAAGTTGGGATGATGTTTATGGTTATGATGCTATATGGAATTCACCTGGGGAAAAGGAATATACATTAAATGAAAGAACTTTAAATAATAATGCATCTAAATACATTCAAAGTAAAAATAAACAAACGAAGCTGAAAAATCAAGGTTTTGCTGATAATTTAATGCTAATCGATGGTGCATCAAAAAATGAAGGTACTGTATTAGTTAATCGACATGGCAAATGGGGTACAATATGCGACGATAACTGGACATTGAAAGAGGCAAATGTAATATGTCGTATTCTAGGCTTTCCATATGCTTTACAAGCTACAACAAGAGATTATTTCTTTTCCAATGGCGAATGTAAGTTTATTTAAGATTTCATACAAACTTTACTGAAGTATGTACTGATTAAATGATTCTTTTACAAAGATAATTCCTAATTACTTACATGATTTCATTTAGTTATCTAATAAGAAAAGTATGTAAATGGATGGTTTCAGAGTATAACTTAAGTTGAACTGTTCCCAGAAAATGAGATCCAAATAGTTTTTCTGAAAGCATAGTTGACTAGAAATAACTAAAATGTTAGACCATTTGACATATTAATCTCAGACAGATATTGATTTTGCACAAACTAAATGATTCAATTCAGTGATTAAAATTATAGTTGTTATTTCCCATAATTTCAGTCATCAATACCAATGCATTTCAAAGACTTCATTAAATGTAGATAACCATTTCATTTTTAGAATACTGATTATATATATTGATAATATATTTAATGAGAACTTTACTTTTAGGGAAACATGTGAATGATGATTAACTGAAAAGCATTAATAAAAACAACTAATAAATTCTCTTTAAGGTGGTTAATTTAAACGAATTGACTTTGAATAAAATATTCAAAGCAATGATATGTTTAAAGGTCTCAGGTAACAGAAGTTGTGAGTAAAAAGATTGATTTGTACAAATAGGATTGTTTATTTCCCTAAAGAAAAATATCTGTTCAATGAATTCTGTACATTCATCATTTGTAAAAGGTGTAAATGTTGGTTTCAAAATACTCCAAAATAAATTCACTTGGTGTTGTTTTACTTGTATCTTCCCATGGTTATTTAGAACTGCAATTGATCAGTCTCTTGTTGGCATATGTGCATCCTGTGCGGATTGCCTCGATATAGAATATAGTCATAAGCTTTTTAAGCTAAGATGGATAGTGGGTAGCAGTGGAATCCAGGACTCGCATTTCGTCCTATTAGGGACTCGTCAGCTGGATATACTTGTATCTCAGAGTTGATGTTTACTCTAGGAAGATACAAGTAAAACAACACCAAGTGAATTAAAACTTCACCCCATTGCACAAGCAAGTAGCTATCAGGACTCAGTAGCTAAATGGATAGCGCGATAGTGTTTGAAGAGGACAGCATTGGGCTCGAGTCCCGGAGTTGACATCAACTTAGGGATGCTAGTACATCCGGCTGACAATTCCCAAATAGGACAAAACAGGCATCCTGGATTCCACTGATAGCCACTATCCATCTTTGCTTAATCCATAATAAATCTTTTATGGGAAATTTTAAAATTACAGCATTGTTTAAACTAAAGGTCTGTTTTATTTAGTCTTTTTAGTAAATTAAATCAAATAACATAGGAAATATTCATTTATTAAGCAGCATGAAAACAGTATGATTCTATTAGCTTAACATTTACATATCTAATTGTACAATAGATAAATGTCTAAATACAAATAAATTCATATTTTAGTTCAGTTAAATGTAATGAAACATACTGGCTACTTAATTTCTCTTTACAATATCGGATATTTTCTTTTATCAAATTACATTATTATTTATTATTGAAGAGAATAAGGACAAAGACTTAAGCAGAATAGAATGAATTCATTTTAATTCGTTTGGTTCTCGTCAGCTGCTTATGACATGTGATGTTTAAAAATCATAATTATAAAATGGTTTTAAATTGCTTACATGAAAGAGTTTAGACGGTAGTTACTTTGAAGGCATATAGGTGTAGCATAGCAAGGATATAAATAAATTTAATAGATCGAATAAAATATTGTAAATGTATACCTTATGTAAAAGAACATTCTACAACATTGATAGTAGCAAATGTCCAATGGTCTAGAAACAAGTGAGTGCGTAACATGTAAACGCTGATAATAAGAATAAAACGAGTAAAGCTCAGTTAATTAAAACAAGATTACTAATCTAGAAGACAGTCGAAATGATGTAATTAGTTAGGAGAAAAACTTTATGATGTAATAAAGGAATATTTGTCACCAAACCAAGGGAACATTAACAATCATCTACTTTTGAACACGTAAACAGGTTTTTGACTCCTAGTAGAAACGACTTCAGTAAACTTCAGAAGACTGGAGTTCGGATGTTTATTAATCGACTTGAAAGATTGTACGGTATCAAACTGATGCCACTCATCCAACAGATGTTCATAATTTCGCTGTTTAAAACAGTTGGATTCAGTGGTCCACGAGTATAGTGCTCACTACGAGACGAAAAGCTACTATATTTGATCTCGCTTAGGTTATTCATTATATACAACTTGGTTGTTTTGAAGTGATGAAAACTCTCACCTAATATCTGCTATTCAATGGTCTTATAAACGGCGGAACATCTTTACCAAACTTATCTCCTGGTTCGTCCGATCTCCATATACCAATTATCTATTACATTGTTTTATGGTTTTACGTCGTGGGGTAATCTTGAGCAGTTACCGAAAACAGAAGATATTGAACAACTGTGTAGTCCTTTTATGGAACTCCCCACAAGTACTTATCCGTCACCTTATCAGGGGTCTGAGCGAGGACCATCAGACCTCACGGCCAGCTCTTAACCATCAGACCACTAAGTTCTCACCCAATGGTTGTTTAACTAACTTCAGTCCCTGATGTAAAACTATAAAAACTGAATAGTAGTCACAATAACCTATACTAATATAATCTTTCGTAAATAAACCTCTATTCATAATGTATAAGGAGAAAAAGGTCATAGACAACCTTCGACTTAATACTATACGAAGTACAAAGTTATATTATAGATATTTGGATTGCTTAGTGTCCTATACCAGCTTTAATCGGTAGTCCTATATCACTTGTGATATCTGAAAATCTAAGCTATTCCAAATAATATGATTACTAGGGTCTTCACTTGCCATATCCTTGAGTTATATATAGATATGAACTTTACATTAAATACATTTCATTCATTTACACACATAGACACTGATTTCTTACATGACAAATAACGTTGTACACTGACCACCTGAAAATTGATTAGTTTCATAGCAGTATTCTTTGTTCTGTCTTATGAACACACTCTGTCTCATGTTATGAAAGTACTTTAGAAAATGACTTATTACTGATCCAAGTTTATTTTTTGCTACTTTTTCCTTTGAATTTACTTTCGCTTACTTAGGATTATTATTTTTTGACCTTGAAAATATCTATTATATCGCTTTTCATATCTATCTACATACGATCTGATATTTCTTATTTCACTTGTCAGATGATTATTTACTGGATGATGTCTATTGTAAAGGAACTGAATCCTATTTAAATGAATGTGTTTATTGGACAGAACATGATTGTTTAAAACGAGAAGAAGCTGGTGTTATTTGTCTTAATCCTGAACCAATTAAATGGCAATATAATGTTAGGAATCCTCAAATTGAAAAATTGTCTATTACTGATATTAAAAGGATGAAACAGGTCAGTGAAAAATAAGCTACCATTCTATAATCTGTACTAGAATTTTAAACATTTGGCGCTAAGGTTTGTATTTTTATATTTTATGAACGTTTATAAATAGTCATAAATCTGTTTTGACATTGATAAAAGATTGCATAAAACAGTCATCATTTTATAATCATTGAGAGTCTTAATGTTAACTCAATGGCGGCATACTGGTTATGTTATCTCATAGAATATTGAAAGGTTTTCAACCGTGATGTCAAATTATGCTAACAAAAAGCTAGTAAAATATTACTAGTCTTACGGTAAATGCAACCGTTTCTTCTTAAGAAAATGAAAGTCTCTACAGTCAAAAAATAAAAATATTCCTTCTGTTTGACTGTACTAATTACCACAAACCAGTACGAGAATAATATCAGGCACTCCCAAAGATTGTGTCATCCTCTCCAGTGATAATAAATCATAGTGTCACATATATCTGTATGGTAATGAGTTATTTCAGGCCTTCGCTATGCTATGCAATATTTCTTTTAATTCATAAAATTATTGCAATCAAACTAAGATTGATTATTTAACACAAAATTCTGCAAATACTCAACATTATTTGTCCCTTGGTACAAAAGTTTCGAAAGATTTTCAAATTATCTAGGGAAAATCTAGCAACAAGATCACACTTTTTCAACTCCTAAATAATATGTGATGACATTTGTTAGATATTCTTCTTTACCTAGTCTAAACTACAAGAAATTAGCGCATATAACTTTACTATAAATGAGTCGTAATGTGCCTTACATTTCCTTTGATTCGTTAAGTAATCATTACAGTGAAGTGACGTTTGTGTCACTTCTTGACGTGGTAGTTTTTAGTATATAAAGACCATATATATAGTTCTGGTTAGTATTAGTTTCTGCTCCAGGTCAATGGTTTCTAGTCTTAAATAATCTAAAACAAACATGGCCTACACTCAGGCCCTATTATGTTGCTTGAGATACTTTCGTGAAACGGAATTTTATTACTTTTGTGTTTTTTGCAGATGGATGATTTTTGATGGAGCTTTGTTTTTTAAGCTGGATGGTTTGGTCGTAAAGTTTTCATCATTCACAAGGACGATGAAAGCTCCATAACCAAACCATCCAGCTCAAAAAACAAAACTCCACCAAAGTAAATACTTTTGTACGTCATGAAATGGTTTTAACTATAGTACGGGATATGTTCTTTACGTAGAATTCCTATGTATTTATATAACCAGTAATTATCATTTCTTGGCTACTTCATGTATGAAAGACGTGAAAAATTTAATGCCCAAATCATTCTTAAAGTTTGGAGCATTTTCTTACTAGTTAGAAAAAAAGTTTAAGTGTAAGAAAGTTTAGCATTCTACCAGCGCGAATTATCAAATGGCATCATTAGAAGATAGACACGTTAATTCTGCATAACTTGGATCTAAATTTACCGGAAAATGAGTTTCAAGCTTCACACTATAAATATATTAGTATTATAAAAGTAAATCAGGGAACTCGGCTTTGGATGGTGTAAAAATGTTTACATATCTGGGCAGCATCATTGATGAACATGGTGGATCTGATGCAGAAGTGAAGGCACGGATTGGCAAGGCAAGAATAGCATATCTACGACTGAAGAACATTTGAAACTCAAAACATCTGTCAACCAACACCAAAGTCAGAATTTTCAATACAAATGTCAAGACAGTTCTACCGTATTGGGCGGAAACCTGGAGTACTACGAAATCCATCATCCAGAAGATACAAGTGTTTATTAACAATTGTCTACGCAAAATACTTCAGATCCGTTGGCCGGACACTATTAGCAACAACGTACTGTGGGAGAGAACAAACCAGATTGCAGCGGAGGAAGAAATGAGGAAGAAGCACTGGAAGTGGATAGGACACGCATTGAGGAAAACACCCAACTGTGTCACAAGACAAGCACTCACTCGGAATCATCAGGGTGAAAGGAGGAGAGGAATACCAAAGAGCATATTATGCTGAGAAATGGGGACAGACATGAGAAGAATGGACAACAATTGGATAGAACTAGAAAGGAAAGTCCACGACAGAGTGTGTTGGAGAATGCTGGTCGGTGGCCTATGTTCCACTGGGAGTAACAGGCATACATAAGTAGGTAAGTAAATCATGGGCAGAGTAGAGTGGTATATCCTTTAACGTTAACAATTAAGGAATCACATTTTATTTTAAAATAAAGATTTTTTTATCATATTCAGAGAAATTTCTCATTGATCCATAAAACTAGAACAAAATCTAAACTGACCAACTATGTTCATACAATTCAACATATACTATCAACTTAGTCATTCAGTTGAATGACTAAGTTAAGAAATGATCATCAAAAATGACCACTACAACATAGAAATTAACTATCCTTTTCAAAATACTTTTCTTTTCATATAAACGTTTGAAATACATATCGAAAGTATTATTTAACCTTATATAGAAAAGTGAATAAATTACATAGTTTCAATAACAAACACTATAAGTTAATATTAGTGAATAAGAAATTGAACAAACTGTAATGTTAATAATTTTATTCCATCTAATGATTCTTTTTTACTATGATTTCACAATCTACATTTATAAATAAATTAATATATTTACGAATTTGCGTCACCGTACACCATCTCATAACAGACCTGGTTGAACTCCAATGGTAACGGCTTCTCACTAGAACTCCAGGAGTATCTCTTCAAGTCAGTCACTAGTGAGCAGATGATTATTATCAGAGGGGGTTTGTGAAGATTTTAAAAATTTCACTGATTGAAATCATTAGTCAATTGAAGCTAGACCACCATGGAAAACCTGGAAGCACTGGCCGGCCGTTTCGTCCTAGTATGGGACCCCTCAGCAATGCGCATTCACGATCCCGCACCCCGCGAGATTCGAACCCAGGAACTGTCAGTCTCGCGCCAAGCGCTTAACCAACTAGACCATTGAGCCGGCAGCCGGTGGTGTTAATGTCTAACTTCAACCAATCCACGAAGTTGCGCGGGGTGCTGGATCGTGGATGCACACTGCTGAGGAGTCCCATACTAGGACGAAACGGCCGTCCAGTGCTTCCAGGTTTTTCATGGTGGTCTAGCTTCAACTGACTCATGATTTCAATCTGTGAAATTTCTAAAATCTCCACAAACCCCTTCTGATAAAAATTAATATATTTGTAATATTAAAAGACTAGTACTTGAACGAAGAACATTCTTTTCGATAAATTCCCTTCAGGTTCTACGATTATATATCCAAATGAATAATTCAAAAAATTGTCCAGGTCAAGGGTAAAGTACATCGTTTAAACCACGTGAATTTAGGATTGTGATAAACAAAATACAATAAAATTATTAATGTTAAAATGACTCATATATAATGTTAACTTGAATCTGCGTATATATCAAGTGAAATTTTAAGATCCATGATCAGAATAAATATGGGTCAAATAGGGTGAGAGAGAAATAATAGTGCAATTACAATTCAATCAAATAAGTAAGACGTAATACGGAGGTATGAATGGGAAGTGAATGAATCATGTATAGGGGAGATTATTGATGTTTTTAATAGCGTAATGAGTAGAAAAATTAAATTTTTTGACGTTTCATAACTTAGTTTAAGTCTCTTCTTCAGAGAATAAATAAAAACGGCTTCTATTAAGCCATGAAATGTCAGAGAATCTAATTTTTTCTATTCATTGAGATATTACAAATTTATTAATTAACTTATAACAATCTATTCAATTTATACGAATATTCGTTAAGATTAGAACGAATAGTTTGACAGTAATTGATGATTTTGATTATTACCCTGAAGAAGTCCAGACAAGTTAGCTGGACGAAACGTTGGAATTAGTTGAATTTCAATTGCTGATATTATTTCAAATATAATTTCACATATAATGACTAATCTATTTAATGTTCAATTTATTTGAAATGATCAAATCTACATTTATGTAAAAGTGTGAATAGTATCATGTAAATATCTTTGTATAATAAAATGTTAAGTAAAATAAACTAATTCAAAAATTATAGTGTCTTAAATCTTCTTTCATTCGTCACTTAATATAATTCGTTTGTCAATAAAACTTTAAGTGTTGTTAGTGATATGCTAAAAAAAGTCGATTGTAATTCCTATTTTTATTGTTGCTTAAATCTCCTCTCGATACAATCACATGAATAAATAAACACACTTTATTTATAAAAGAAAAAATAACCTTTATTTTAGTTCTTGTTTCAATTACTTTACTCTGTCATGTGCTTTTACCAATACTTCAAAAAGGTTTATACCGTTTTTTTCCTTTTAAATTATTATTTAAGTAATATATATATAAACAAGTCAGTGGATTATATAGATAAAGTAAGAGATTTTCTAATTACTAGCTGACCATTCACAACTGTCAGTCATACGAAAGTATATATATAGGGTAATTAGGGAATTTTATTAAAATTTTATAATCTCTTATCATAAATAGTTTAAAAACAATGAAAGAGTTATTAAACTTGAATGAAATAGTATCTAAAAGTACAAGAAACATAATACCACATGTTACCAGTATACTTAATTGTAAACAACTATTTATTTTGAATGACATTTTGATTTTTAAAGTTATCATTTTATGATAGGGTATGAAAAACTTAATTCTAATGAATTCCACCTATCGTTCTTGTATTACCGATAGACTGCGTGTATATTCAGTTTTATTGTCAACAGAAGAACTTTTTTGTGGATCTATAGTATTTAGTTCCCTAATTTTTATTTATTTATGGCTAAATACTAGAAAAACTTAAAAATCCATTCAATGTCCTTTTAATTATGCATTAAAAAATCTTTACATATATTCGTTCTTCAAAAGACAGATAACTTTCAGTAAAGATTTGTAGAAATGATTCGATAATTTTGTTGAGTAGACTTAAGAATGAATTATATTTATTTATGTTATAACTTGTGACTGCAGATTAGATAGCAGCAATTTGCCGATCGGAACACGTAAGAACGGCCTAGAGTTCCGATTGGTCCCGCTTCCCTCTCAAGCCCAGCCAGTTGAGTCCAGAACGCAAGTCAGCCTCTGAGATATGAATCATTATATTTCAAGCACACTGAGTTTATATACCAGTCAAACCGACCACAATGTACCAATAAAATATGAAACAACATTTGTACAAGAATTAGTCAAATGTGGCCGTGAATGAGGGAGGTAGTAATTAATTGACAGGGCATAATTCAATAATGGTAGATCGTATAATAATAGTTCATAGGCAAAAATAAAGCTCATAATAAGAGGGACATGAATATGAACAGTTTAGTTACATAACAATTATACGATAAAAATATACGCATAGTATCGCTTCATAAATGGGTCCCAAAAATTACCATTCATTATTCTTATCGGGATACAACAATTTACTTAAAGATTGACAATATGAAGTTTTCTCTGGGTGGATTTTTTTATCTACTCAACAGTATTTGCTGTAAATTACCATATCCCACGTTAATATCAGTAACTGATTTCTCAGCTAATCATTACATAATTTTGGTATGTTAATCAGTCAAAACTATCGCTTATCGAGTTTAGTACATAATATCAAGGAATTAATAAAATCCATACATTCAGTCATCAGTAATTGTATAAAACTAAAGATGAAACTATAGGTTGACAAATCGTTGTATTTAAAGTGGCTTTACATTCTTGTCGGAGTAATTCCATCATACTTTTAAAAACTTTGTAAATTATCTAATTCCTAATACTTTTGAATTACTAACACTTGTAGCGACTTGGTTACCATTTCGAATTCAGGTTCTACTAATGGTAAGAATAACTACATATCCGCTTATAGTGAGTGAATCGAATTAAGCTTAACTAGTTTTGTTTTTATGTAGTCAGCAGTTATCATCTTTTGTAATGTTTGGTATATTTAACTACATATACAATCACTTAAATGATGTTACTTTGTAAGTATTTATTCCTTTCACGACACTCATGGTATTCAACATTATGTATATACTGTTACTTTCGAATACACTTAATTAAACTTGCCTACTTCATGTCTGAGAAGTATGAATGATTTGATTTATATCAAATTTTACATAATAATCTGATTATAGATATGAAAAATAATATTTGGAAAATCTAGTACATTCTATGTTTTTGGGAACTAGAAAAGTCTGTAAAAATTGTGAAGTCGATAAGGAATTGAATAAAATTCCATAATTACTTAAGGAAAATTGATTTCCCTCCATATTCACTAATAGCAACCCATTCCTCTCTAGTTTTACAGCCTTTTCAGTTATTTTCGATATGTGTCCGTTTCCTTTCGATTTGAATCATGTTTGTTAGTTGGACAATCATCCATATTACTCTCCTGTATGTTATCTTTACTTTATCTTCTCGTTATAACTGCTCAGTTATAACGTAACTCATATTCGACACTTAGTCTCCAGTAACCTCGTTAATAATCTACTAAATTTTCATTTTATTATATGCTACTGTGTGTAAAATAACTATTAACTCAGCAGAACTGTTTAAATAAATAGAACAACTGCAAAGAAAATTTTCTTTGTTAAACTGTTTTTATTATGCTTGAGAGTAACAGAAAAAGTTGTGGAATATTAAATGTTCTGAACAATAAAGGAGATTTCTATATGTGAACGTAAATAGTATCGGATTATGAACACATCAAACCAGCCTAGTATTCATCGCTTGGTAAGTAGAAACTAACGTTTTGAGCTTTAAGCTTTCACATTTCTGAATACTCATGTACAAAATACTACTTTTCACACTTTTTTGAAACAATAAATTAATCAAATTAGTTCTAATGGTAAGATATTTTATACTCACTGTTGATTATTGTCAATAAAATCGGTTTAATGGCCATCTATGGTTAAACAAACGTCAAATTGACAGCCAAGGATGTTAATTCCTGAAAAATTGAGATAATAGACTACATTACCGTCGTTGGTAGTTGACTCATTTGTAATTTTTTATTTTAGTATCATACTACTATTAAGTAGTTGAAGTATGCTCAATGAAATATTTGTTGAAATGATGTCTTGATATTCCTGTCTGAACATTTTAGTCATGTTGCGATCACTCAGTTTGATGGCTTAATCATACAGGTTTCACTGTCCCTCTATAAAACGCCATCAGTAGAAACTTAAAATTGAACTGAAGACATGATCAGAAATCAGTAAACATGAAATATAAGCGCTTATCGATTTCAGTTTATGTATTATTGGATGTATCTATTCATACTAGCTAAAGTATATTTCGAAAGGATATAATTTTAGTCCTTTTAAGCGGGCTAGTTCTGAGTTGTATCTGCAACCAATTTTTATCAGTTACGATACTTACGAAAACTTTATCAAGACACTGTTATCCAAAGTTTTTGTTAATGTCGTCCAAACGTCCTAAGGTATAACCATCATATTCTTTGCGACTGCAGACATGTACTGATGATGAATACCAACGTATACTTAATACTTAGATGAACTCTACAAACATTCAACTTAATAATAACTTAACATCAATAAAATGGAACATCTTAAACTTAATTTATGGTGCATGATTGACAATTTATTAAAATTTAACTGGTTAAAAATTATTCTCTAGTCAATATTTGCATCATTATTATATCTCTCAGAATTTCTCAAAATGCCTGATTCGTCGATTAGAAGGCGCTAGAAAACCATTGCCAAAAGAACCACTCAGCTCCCACAAGGCTTTTATAAATAAATACTTCGTTGTTATCTTAAACTATGGACCAACGTTAATTTTATACCTAATTTTCTACTCTAGGCATTCTTCAATTTATAACTGTTCAAAGAAGCATTTTTCTTATGATTAGTTGATTTTTTAACATGTTAATATCCGCTCAACACTTATGGAAAGAGTAAGTGCTGCTATGACTACCCAAGTGACATTTTTTATTAATGGCCTGAAGAAAAAGAGAATAGAAATTGTTTATGTTCAATCAAGCCAAAACTATGAGAAGCTTTCAGTTTGTCTAAGTGCACCCACTAGTTACGAGGCTAGAGGAAAATGTGGATCTCTTAGAAAGTGAATTCTTACTGGAACAACAGCTTTAAATAACTCAACCACTAATAAGCTGAGAAATCTTACCAACTTTGTTCCATCTTGTTCCTGAATCTTGATCTCCACTCTTCATTGACATTTTTTCCAACAGTATAACAGAATTACACCGTTATCTTAATTGTGATGCATTCAGTATTTGACGCCAATGTTATGGTTTACGTTGTGACAGGGGGTGTTCGAAATCCGATACTGATACACGGTGTGCTACGCGCTAACCCCTCCCCAACTGACTACTTGAGAGAGAACACAAGAGTGAGCAAGAAAGTGTATTAGACTACCGTATAAATTGCGAAAATACTCATTCATAAACACACTACTCTATCCTTAGTAAATCGACTCATTTCTTAGCCAATGAAATGCACTTGTCCTTTAGGTCCTTCTGATTTTTGTAGATTGACCTTCTCATTATGCTACATCATGGTAAGCCAGTAAAGCAGCTGACTATCTGCTCTATGCTTCAAATAATCCAATCTTCTCGGAGTAAAAAAATACTTATGAAAGTATTGAAGGCCATTATAAATAAGATAACGCTTACTAGCACGCACGCATCTGACACCATCTCTTGAGGAGGACAGAACACTTGTTTCCAAAATTCTTAAGTGTTCCAGAAAATAGTTGCATTAAACTTATGAACGCGTTTATCTAATCGTACATATATATCTAAATAGTGTATTATTATACAGAAACGCCAATCATCACTTCGTTTTCACCCACGCCTAGATTGCTAGAAATGTTTTAGTTCGAAAATTTTATTACTGAGTATTGACTATTCATTTTAATATAATAGTAGGGAAAGTAAGGTAATAAGGGTTAGTAATTCAAATTTTATACTACTGAACTTTTAATTTTAGCAAATATTTTGGTCTGAGCTGGAAACATTTGAAAGCAGTAATCTTTTTATTGTCAAGGCTAGAGTTCCACAAGGTAGAAATCGACGAATGGTTATTGGAGCTATTTGTGTCGAACATTTTCGTGGAGCTGAAGCGAATGTAGCATGTCGAAGCATGGATTATTCATTTGCTTCATCATATTCTTCAGTAAGTTAATTAATTTGATTGTAACCACTATTTCTAGGTCAGATTTATCATAAATTATGAGTAATGAATTTGCAAATACATAGTTTTTTAGTATTTCGAACTCATGATATTGGGTAACTTTGAGACAAATGTCTGAGTTTCATTCACCAAGCTAAATTATCTTCACTTTTTACAAACTTTTGAAGCTGACACCAAACTTTTAGGTGACTAACATTAACTATGTTACTCATTAAGATATAGCTAAGAAGTCCATAATCTAATAACACTAGCGGCTTTGTTCATTGTAATGATAAACTAATTTAAAGTTTATCAATATTTGTGAGGGTGTTTATTTTCCTGTTATTAACAATTAAGAGAAACTTCAATCCATCTTTTTTGGAGCATAGGCTCCTTGAGCTAACGGTATGTATCCACAAGTTGTCATCAAAAATAAAATCTATTAGGTGTTGATATTTATACTGGGACATGAAAAAAATACTCACAACTTCAGACGCCCAGGCGTTATTTACTAGGCTACAGAATCGTAATACCCACCAACTGACTAAACTTCTATGATGTTTATTACTGATTGTTAATATTCAAAATAAGATCAATCGAATTTTTGTGAATATTCATTAAGACATTAAATAATCTCAGTATTCTTTATATCAACCACAGTATCAATCTCTAACTCATTCATGTAATAATGTTTATCAAATTATTATCTTTTCATAAGCTTTTTTACGATATAGTTTCTACAGAAGCCAATAATGTACTTATAATTTAAATGTGCTGATTTTTATTGTTAGTCAATAACTTACGAACTTTCGAAACTGTTATGTGCACGTACAGTTGTCTTTTCTTCTACGTAATATAATGTCCATCTTTGCAAGATGATAACACAATATTGACTGGAACAGAAGTTAAATAAAGTTCCATTTACTTTATGTGAATTGTTTGTTCTCTCTTTCATTTTTTAAGCTTTCTACAGAAGACATTTTTCCAAGCTTTTCGTAAATTGTTTTTTACACGTCATTTATTATCACTCTTCAGTAAAAATGAAATCAGTTAGTTAAAGTCTCTTGTAAAGGATTATAGATTTAGTATCCAACCCACTGATTATAAGTGACTAAATATATATTTAATATCATTTTATGTGACAAAGCAGTTGTAAAGGACTTAAATCACTGAAATAATAGTTCTTTGATTGAATGTTGACCTTTCAGTAAAATTCTAAAATTTTGTAGTTTCATTGCACTCTTAATCCTTTGGTTCCAGAGGTTATGATTCAGAAATAAATTAACCGACGTCCTTCATTAGATATCTACAAAATACCAAGAGTCTTGCAATCCTTTTATTACAATCTGTTAAAGACACTGTATTTCATGGTATACGGATCCAAAGAGTTTATTGAAAATTGAATCAGATCAGTAGTCTAATGTAACGACATTACTATATCTAATCGAGAACTTATTAACACCACTTACTGAATATATGCTCACTAACATTTATGTAAAACAACAGGTGCTTCATAATATAAATATAACAGATATTTGACTGCACATAAACATTCTGTTTCTGATTCACAGATACTTTTCTTCCCAAATTCACAATCAAACAACAAACAGGAATGAACTGATTAAATGCTTAATTTTAGTGTAAGACTACTCAGTAAAACCTAATTGATATCGTCTGAAATTTAATAAAGGCACTTTCATTATATTACCGGTTTATTTAGCATTCACCTAGTGATAGTATTTTAGATTTAAAAATCATATGCTATGTAACTAAATTGCATATAATTTGATAAGTGATGATTTTCCTACCTAAATCATTGCAATCACAAAATGCTGTTTATTTTAAGGTTCTACTGAAAAACGTGAAGACTTTTACCATACCTTATCCGGTTGTACGAATCGGGCATTGTTTTGGAAATGAATCAAAATTGGAAGATTGTGTTGCATTCACTGATCCAAACGGAGTACCATGTTCAAATAATAGTTTGGGAATAGTAGTAAACTGTTCAACAGGTAAACTGGTAATTTTAAATTTAGATAATTATTTTGTTACTCATACATATCATGTACAGTAGTTTGTATTGACGACTGTTGTTAATCCAGTCATTCAGTATCAAACTGCAGAGTCAAATGCGATGAAAACAGTTGACATTTTTATGCTCCTAAGTGTTTATGATAATTGTTTCGATCTATCATGTGAAGGATGTTTGAAAGACAGCTAATGAGCCAACACCTTAAGTTATACGTTAATTAAGTGAATTCCCTAAATAGAAACTAATACTATTTATGCAGAATATCAAATAGAACTTAAATTATACAAGTTTAGATATCTTTCTTAATACAAATTTTCCACATTCCATAAGATGTATAGAGTTTATGTAAAACTATCGAGCACAACGGCTAAGCAAGTCATACACTTCGTAATGGAATGAATTTTTGCGTAGTCATGAAGTGTTTTTAATATTTCGTGAATAATATTTCATTCACAAGCCCATTCTAAATCTAGAAGAAAAGCAATTTATACGTCTAATAAAGTTTATTTATAACCCCTCGATGAAATTGCCATGCAGTTGAACAAAATAGACTAAAATAATGACTTTTACAAGATTACCAGAATACTATTATTTCTTTCAGTCAGTAATGATAAACATTATCATTGTTTTGAATCTCAGTTTATGTTCATATTTTTTATAAACCTACACACGATCCAAGTATCCCGAAATTGAGTGAGTCCTAAGAATCAACTAGAAGGTATAATACAAGCAATGTGTATTGATGTTCGGACAAGAATGATAATTATTGGTTATTTCCTTCGTCAAACTAGTAGGTAGTTTGACAGGTACTAGATAAGTTATCTATTCTCTTACACTTATTATTGTGATTGTTATCTGTTTTTGGTGGGTAAATATACTTACGTTCTAGTCAGGCTAGACACGTGTTCTTGATCTAGGTTGTGTTGACATCCTGTAGAATAGACACTGGGAGGTATCTAGTGTAGATATTTGTCTACGGCTAATTAGCGTCCCATTTGTGTAGACGAGGAAAACCGAGAGTTATAACATATATGAATTAAAAACTAAACTCCTTGTTTTACTACATAACTGTGATCCTATATGGCACATGCCTTTTGTGTGTGTGCAAGCAGATGAGTATGAAAGAATCTTATTTAATGCGAATGAGTCATTTGAGTTGCATGTATTTATAGTATGATCGTGTTGTTTGTGGCTGCTTCATGTTGCTGAGTAACATTTTCAACTATAACCATAAATCAATGTTTTTATTTGTAAATATAGTTTTAGCTGATTTGGAACCAGATGTTAAAGCATTGGAATCTTCAGCTTACAGTAGTATGATTCCTTTATTTCAAGCACAATGTGCTTTAGAAGAAAACTGCTTTCCTCCGAGTGTTTATAATTTGATTAACAGAAATCGACATTTAGCGTTGATGCATATGCGTCGTTTATTGCGTTTTTCTTCAATTATACACAATGTTGGAACTGATGTCTTTCGTCCACATGAACCGCCTGAACGATGGGTATGGCATGCATGCCATATGTAAGTTTGTCAAGTTAACTGTTAAAAATGCGTTTGTTCATGTTTATGTTCTATGAGGGATCGAAAGTAGTATTAAACTACCTATAAGTTTAGAAACTACAGATCAAAATGATGGATTATGTTTAGCACTTAAATCCAGGACACACGTCTTGTGCTAATTGTGACTCATCGGCGGAATGTTTATGTACTACAGCTTCAATTAACATAGCGGAACGAGAGCCCAGTATTTGCATCCACAACTATAAAACCCGAAACCTTACATACGTACAACTTTATATCAGTTGAATGAATTCGTGACCAACTGAACCCAGTGACTCAGTGAGTAGGGCGTTGGACATTCGACGAAAAAGTTACCGGTTTCTAGACCCAGGATGAACAACGACAATAGGATAAGGACATATCTATCTGATGAATCTCAAACAGGATGAGGTAGGCGTCCCGGATTTTACTCCCAGACACAATTCATCTTTACAAAAACTTAAAAATATCCTAAATATAATCAGTATGATTTATTAAATTATAATTATTTTAATATTGATATCAATCAACTCATTCATTGCTTGTCAATCAAAACTTTATTACTTCAACTGCAATTACTCACACTCGTTAGCCATCAACAAAGTTATGAATTGAATAAAAATAGAATAGTGACAGAGCTATTTTAGAATAAATACAAATTTTCTAGCCAATAAGTATACAAATGTATTGTATAGTGAGTTACCAAATATCAATTTTATAGATGAATAATTAAAGTACGTTTAATTTTATCAGTATATGTTATTAATAAATATAAAAATGTGAAGAAAATAATATTCACTCATTCTGTTTTGCAATTACTTGTCAATTATGAAAACATAGAAAAATTGTGGGTTCTCTAGTTACCAATTTTTAAAGGTAATTCCAGGAGTTCTGGTGAGAAGTCATGATTATTGAAGTTCATAAATGTCAAGTTTGAGGTATTAAAAGGTTTACGAATTAATTGAAGCAAGATGTGTAATAAACTGGATACTGGTTCAGTCCTTTAACGGATGAACGCCAGCAACAAGTCCTTAACTTCCTGTATTTAATCTCTGGTTGGGTTGTAGATGTTCAGTGATAAGAAGTCCTATACTAGGATGAAACATCTATCCAGTCCTCCTTGGTTTTTAGTGGTAACCTAACTGTGGCCTGTAGGTGGCGACTACAACCTATAGATTGAACTACCCTTCACAAAATCCCTTCAACCAAAATAAAAATAAACTTACTTCAACAATATGTGACTTACCATTCTTCATCTTCTTTATCTATATATAAAATACTAGGTTCTGTGAATTGAAGCAAACTTGTTGTTCATAGTGTATTTACTTGTAGTGCTATGTTAAAACCACATAGCATATTCTAGCTTCCAGATAAGCCAATCTATTCATTCTCCTTGAGTCACATTTTGGCCTTGTCAAATATTCACTTATCAACTTTAACTGTTTTTATATGAGCGTATGTGTGTACACTTTTTATCCTATTCATCACATGTCTGTAACCTATTTTATCTGGTTATGATTATTGATTAACGCTTGATTAAATGGAGTTGGCTCACACGCCTCCACTGCTTCGTTCGTTGTGATTCTCTGATTGAATGTTCCGATCAACGAGTGTACAAAATATACGCATTCAAAAATCCATTCTCGTATTTGAATTATTTAATTCCGTTATTCACCAACGCGGATTAAGTCGATAATTATACACGAGGATTGACGATATGTATATTTCAATAACAACCAATTATACGATATTACTGGAGTCAGATACCGGGCAACTAAACACTTTTTTGGAGAGCTTAAGTTTAGTTTGTCTGATATCCAATGTGTGATTACAGTTTTTAACAATATTTTACATACCTCATTATAACATGGTATGTATATTTGCTTATTCTAAACTGATTTAACAGAGAAGTTTCTTTTCTCAAAAGTTATGATTTACAATTCAACGGATGAAAAAAAGTATTACAATCATGGTTTGATTTGTGGAAAATTCCATCTATCAATGATATCAGGATTTATTTTTAAAAATGTCTGAAAAAAAATGCATAAACATGATATTAAACGATATGATACAAATGTACAATCTCATTCATTCCATACTAATTCACTCCCTGATGGAAATATATTTATTTTTTTATCCACGAATAATTTATTCTCGCTAAAAGTGATGAATGATAAGAATTCGAGTTAGTTAATCCCTAGAAATTGAATAAATCTGAGTTACTCATAATTTAAAAAATAACTTTTAGTAAATACATTCTACGTTAATTTTTCAATTTCATTTTAGTAGAATAAGAATATGAACACTAATATATAGAAAAAAGAAGTTTATTCAAAATACTTAGATCGGCCACTAAAAACTACTTGCCCCCAAATGCCCTGGTACGGCCGAGGGTGGGGAGAGTCAGCACTCTCTCAAGATGCTTTCACATGGCCACGCGTACACAGCCACTACCAGGGAAGTCTTGCACCTTGCCGGTGTTGTTTACGAAATTTAGAAGACGAAAAGCTAATGTCCGGCACTTTAACCGAGTTGGTGGACTCGAAGGGTTCACTTAGGGGGGTTGAAAAACCCTGATTCCAAACTAATGGTGCACATGGGCTCCAGTATCCTGAGAGAACAGTAGGTGTATGGACCTATTGTTGGCCACCGGCTACCATGGGACTGCATAGCCTGACGTTGCTCCCCTACCTTTAGATCGAAGACTCTGCATGTGGTCCCCTAAGGGAACCACCCGCTTCAGTTTGATCACATGGGCAGTATCTTAGCTCACGCACAAATCAAGTGACTAAAAACTAAATCAAATCATTTATAAAACCAAAGCACGAACATATTTTTTTATTGTTAACTCTATAATTTAATCGAAATAGTTCAAAGTTCCACGACAAATCGGATTGAACAATTAGAAATAAAATGGTTATGATTAATTCAAAATAAACATTGATCGGGAATTTTATTAATTTTTACAGTTTGCTTCATTTTTTTTATTTTTTGCTATTTACTTGAGACTATTCAACTTTATATTTTAAGATGTCTGGATTTTAGTAATTTCTATAAGAACTTTCATCTAAATTTAATCGAATAGTTCCATAGTATTTGCTTGAGATCATGAACTGATTGATGTTAGACCGCCGTTGGAGACCTGGAAGCACTGGACCGCTGTTTTGTCCTATTGGGGGACTCCTCAGCAGTGCGCATCCACGATCCCGCTCGCGGGATAGGACGAAACAGCTATCCAGTGGTTCCAGGTTTCCAACGGTAGTCTAACATCAATCGGTTCATGATTTCAATCAAAAACTTAATAATCTCTACAACCCCTATACTGATAGTTTCATAGTATTCGGGCGCTGAGTTGATGTGAAACATTAAATAGAGGATGAATGTATTTGTAAAAATCTCAGCAAATCAATTTACAGGGTGAACCGTTGAATTTACTTCAAATTCATTTGTTGAGATTTTACAAATACATTCGTCCTTTTTAATTTTAGTAACTTTGTTCATATTACTTTTTTAAAACACTAATGTAAAAGACAACTTTTCTAATATTAGTAAGACATTTTTATTTTGCAACAAAATTATTTGTACATTATTCCATAAATCATATCACTGTACTGTATTAGCGAATAATTTTAATGATTATTACCACTAAAAAAGATCAATTTTAATCAGTTTATGTAGCCTAAATGCGTGAGTAAAACGTAAATTTTCCCAAACAGAAATATTTTATATCAGAGGGGTTTAGTGGATATTATAGTAATTCTAACGGTTGAGATCATGAGTCAATTGAAGCTAAGTCACCATGGAAAACCTGGAAGCACTGGACGACCGTTTCGTCCTATTGTGGGTCTGGAGTTCTAGTGGGAAGCAGTGATCAGTGGAGTTCAACCGGGTCTGTTGTAAGATAGTAACTCACTAAATACATTGGTGTATGTGTCGCTCAATTTCGTGGATTGGTTGAAGTTAGACATTAACACCGTTGGATGCCGACCGGTTCAGTGGTCTAGTGGTTAAGCGCTCGCGCGCGAGACAGATAGTCCCAGGGTTTGAATCTCGCGGGGAATGGGATAGTGGATGCGCACTGCTGAGGAGTTCCACAATAGGACAGAACGGCCGTTCAGTGATTCCAGGTTTTCCATGGTGATCTAGCTTCAATTGACTCATGATCTCAACCATAGAAATATTTTAGTTCAATATTAATTTGTTATCAGTTTGAAGATGTAGAGATTGTTGACTTTTATTGTGAAATCATGAACTGATCAATATTAGATTGTCATTGAAAATCTGGAAACACTGGATACTAACAACATTTTACCCATTTTCAACTAAGATAAAAACATTAGTGATTAAGCATCAATACGACTGAGTTTCACAATTATGCTAAACAGATCATAAACTATTGGTATTTCTATAAAAATATATAACTGTACATTAAAGCAAACGATTTAGTAAACTATTTAAACAATATAAGCAAAGATGGATAGTGGCTAGCAGTGGACTTAAGGCAATATCGAAGAAATCCTCACAGGATGAACATATGCCAATATCAGACTGATCAATTGCAGTCTTAAACATCAATAGGAATATTCAAACAAAGAATACAAAATGAAATTTATTCAGAAATATTTTTGATTAAATAAACAAAATTGACTTCTTTCTCATGTATTTTGATTATGTTTATGTATCTCTGCTTAATTACTCTTTAATTTATGTCTTCTTTTGCCTTTTAGGCATTATCATAGTATGAAAGTATTCTCTTATTATAAAGTTATCAATGCAAAGCAGCAAATTATGGCTGTTGGTCATAAAGCTAGTTTTTGTCTAGAAGATAATGCTTGTAAAAATGGATATAAAAAACATTTTGTTTGCTCAACCACACTAGTAACACGTGGGGATCAAGGTGAGTAGAGAAATGAAATTTTACGAATTCTGTATAACAAATATTAGCGGTACATTTGCATAGTTTTGACCGGATGCTTTAAAAGTTTTAATCGTATCGATTTATCTACGGTCTTTTCAAGAATTTACTCTTTCTGTCCCATTTGATTTAAAGATGTTTTCAATCAATATAACACAAACCAATTCACTAGAATCGTAGGATTTTGATGTTCTAATTAACCAGTACATTGATGAAACTACACAAATCATTATGTTTATATACTGAGTTTGGAAATTCATATTACGGTTTTTAATTGACTGTAACCACTTTGAAATTACACTACAAGTGGGTTACCATCTCAACATACAGAAATATACGGCCAAGAAATTTTATATCCAACCACTACTAACCTACTGTACAGATTATGAAAAAAAATGGTATTTGGAAAGTACCGTATAAAATTGTCAGTCTTGCGAAATAGAAAGGATATTTCCTAACATAATTATATTGCTTTGAGAAAGATTGAGGACTAAAAAGAAAAGGACAATCATTTTATTGTATATAATACTGTATAACAGTTACCCTATACAGGATTCCAGTATTACCATGGTTCTATTGAAAAATTGTTATCGATAAATAAGTAATAAATTTGATTAATAATCTACTTATCTTTATCTAATAACTAAGTTATTTTGTTTAATAATTTAACTAAACGACCTTTAGTTAATAAATACAACAATTTTTTTTAGAAAAATAACCCACTTTGTTAGATACACTTTAAACTGTACTGAATATTTTTGTTTAATATGATAATTCACACTTAACTATAAACGAACAAGTAACTTCAAATAAGATAATAAACCACATTTAAATTAATTAATATTATATTCTCATATTATATAGTTGAAAGAAAGAAAAAAACAACAACATTAGAATCAACAATGAAATCATCCTATAAACGATAGACTACAAAAGTTAAAAACAATCAAAATCTACCTTCAACATTTAACACTGAAATAATCTACTTAAAGAAAGACTAGATTTAATCATGTTGATCAAATTAACTTATTCGAATAAAACTATGGAATATTTTTTTCGGCTTATAATTTGAATGTCAACAGATGAAACAATCGATTAGGTATTTTTTTTACCACTAAAATGAATTTTTATTTTATTTTTTCCTTAAACATTTAATTATTTCCAGAGAAGGGTTTTTCGTGGATATTATAGTAGTTTAATAGTTGAGATAATGAGTCAATTGAAGCTGGATCACCATGGTAAATCTGGTAGCACTGGACGGCCGTTTCGTCCTACTATGTGACTCTTCAGCATTGCACATCCACGATCCCGCCGTCCAGTGCTTCCATGAATAAATTTAACTGACATTCTATCAACTGCAAGTTAAAAATTCTCATTACATTATGTACATTTTAAGTGTGTGTACTGGCTATAGCAATAGAGTAATATACAAGTTTAAAACGTGAAACTTTGTCAAATCATACATCAGTCTACAGTAAACTAAAGGATCAGAGTGGGTCGTTCATTGGTTACCTCACTCACTGATACTGGAAGAATAAAGAACAATTATCACAATATTAGTGTAATCTGATCACTTAGAAGTAACTTTCAAAGTCGAGTTAGATTCACTTATATCTATGTTAGACGATCATATATGAATACATTAATCGTTTTATTTTGCCCTGAGATTGAAAGTCATGCCTTTTCATATACATTGTATCTTTGGTAATTTCCGCCAATACAAATCAACTATGACTTACAAAATAAATTCACTTTATATTGAAAAGTCTAAATTTACAACAATAGAATTTCTAAAAATTGACTTACATGTATTAATTAATAACTCTGAAGTGAAATTAGTAACTTAAGGAAACGAAGTACATCATTTTTGCCTAAGATTAGATTGACCAACAAATATACTGTTACTTTAGTCATTTCAAGCTATCACGAGTCTTGATCTTACAATTATCGTTGTACATTAATGCCTCAACCTGTTTGTGACAATATGAGTCTTATTGGTTGATTTGAAAACCAAAAACTTGACTTACTGAATTAGTACGCAGCTGCCTAGATCCACAAATATTAGCACATAAGACAATGATCTGACCATTTCAATTATACTGTTTGAACTAGAGGGTTTCTAACCTACCTTAGATTTCATTTAACCATGTAATACTTTCGACATCTACACACGTCATATAGTTTCCTTTCAATTCAATTATTTATACCATTTTATTCTTCGTACCTTTGAAAATAGATACTAAATAACAAGAGGAATGCAACTTGTTAACTTATCACTTCTAACTGGTTATAATAAGGCCGAATCAATAGAACAGTCTCGAACTTCTGTTAGCTATTAGACTGTTCAAAATATTCGTTAATAAAATAATCCAGATTTTTTTTACTTTTGACTAACAGACAGGGTTTAGCACCGTTTCTATAGTAAAATCTATTATAAGACTTGTTCAGATTGTGTTATTCTACCAGAATTCACCATACTCTAAATCCAGCAGTAAAATGTAGTAAGCTTGATGAGCCCTGGTTGGTGTAGTTATTTTTCTCCAGCGTTTCTTGATATGAATCAACATCACCATTAACCTACAGAATCTCTTGCTCGCAAATAACTATGTAGGAAGTCAGTGGAAGTTATCCGACCTTGATGTGATAAGTTGTGCACTATCGTGAACTGACTGTAGCTAAAAGATATAAGAAATTGAATTTCATCTCACTGATTCAATGGTATCGTGCTGAAGGTCATGGTTTGACCCATCCGGGATAGGTGTGAACAAACGAGGATTAGCAGACTGATAAATAACCATAAAAGACGAGCTGGTTTCGAATGGTTCTCTCATTGATGTTAATCTTTTTAACAAATGACATCAATTACACAAACACTGGAAAATACAAATTAATCACTTTATGCCATCGTTCTGGCATTGTAATGTAGCAACTTGGGGTAACATACATTTGTCCCAAGCTGTGTTGATCCCAACCGACTGGATATTTCTTGAATGTGATCTCATGATATTGGTCTCTTAAATTAACATAACCACCCTTAAGCTATCTCGTCAATCACAATTGCGCAGTATTAAATTGTAATATCAAATCCATTTTAATTGAATCCTTGACTTCGCGACTTTTAATATTTATAATAACATAAATCCCGCACTCAATATTTTTATTGCTATACTATACAAGGTATTAGTCCTGGATGCCAAGATAATTATTTCCACGATTATGATTGTCAATGGTTAGATATTACCGATCTAATTCCAGGTGAATATACATTTCAATTGATTTTAAATCCAGACTTCTTAGTACCCGAAATTACTTACAAGAACAATGCCATAGAATGTCGTCTATCTATAGGACATACAAATCATCATTATGCCGCATTATCAAAGTGCCATTTGGTACATCCGTATGATTTGTGAAAATTCACAATTGCACACGGTCACATACATAAACATATCAGTTTTACTTTGAAAAAAACATCATATAAATTAGATACATTTATTATCCTGTAATCACATTATAATATTGATTCACATGCATCATTGGTTATGCACCATGGACATTTATATTATCAGTAGAAAATCAATAAAATTATATCAAGTGCTATATTTCACTATTTTCAACTAAATATATTCGGGATAGATATAAAATTTATGTGCAACATGTCTTCCATTGATATAACTTGACTTTAAAAACCAACTGAATTTCAAAACGTCATCAACTTAAACTACTACTTAACAGACAAAGTTCAAACAAATTCTTATGTAAAAACATAAACTATATACAATTTACGGCTACTTTAGAGTGAAAATCCTCGCGATTATCGGTCTATAAATATAACCATTTTTATGATATACTAAATCATTATTATATTATATATTATTCTGCTTGAATAGATGACTTGGTTATTACCTTCCTTCTACTCCATTGTCTCACATGAAGAAAAACCTCACTGTTACAAAACGTGAATCCTACATAAGTAAACAATTTTCTCACCTGAAAAATTAACTTAAACCAACGCATATGCTTTTAAGCACTATTCATATGGAGACTTCAAGACATCCCTAGAAACTGTTTTTATTTTATATGCAAATTATATATTCTAGTCATTTTATTTGCTATACTCCACCAGTAGCTCTTCTAGGATTATTGCCGGTCTCAACCCCGGATAAAAAAAGGAGGGTTGGACGTGGAGTCAACAACCCCATCGCGTAAAAAACAAACTTGCTAAAAAACACTAACCAGAATAAACAATTTAAACTCTGCCTTGGGAGTTGAAGGATGAATTATGACGCCTCGTGATGAATACCGAGATTGTTCGGAAGTCACGAGGTCTATCCCCTTTCTAACAACTAGAGCAATAATTTTTATAGGTACATGGACTGTCTGGACAATGTGAGAGACCAGGAGGACTAATCAAGTAGATAAAAAAATGAGATACAACTTCGTGGTTTTCGGAATCAGCGAAACCCATTGGACCCAAGCTGGACAGAAAAGATTAGATTCAGGAGGGATGCTGCTGTAATACGATCACAAAGCGGAAGATGCTCTACACACTCAGGGAGTTGATCTGATGCTGTCTTAAGATGCACGAAGTACTATAATAGGATAGGAATCTCATGGATCCAGGATCATCAAAGTGCCATTCGGAAAAAAGAAAGAGGGTATTACAATGAACGTTATGCACCAACGATAGCAATGATGACGAAAAAGATCTGTTCTACGAGAGGCTACAAACGGTCACAGTGAAGTGCCCATGAAAGGACCTGACAATCCTGATGGAAAATGTAAACGGTAAAATCGGAATGGACAACGGTTATGAAGATATATAGAATTAAGTCTGTTTTGTTATTAATACTATTATAACAATAGAAGAACAAGTGCAGACAGACTGGAAAGAAGGATATCTCATCAACATTCCAAAAAAAGATCTGAGCAAATGTAATATTATGGGGGCATCACACTACTATCGGTACCAGGAAACGTTTTTAACAGTGTTGTTGGACCGGATGAAGGATTCAATATACGCCCAACTTCGAGATCAACAGGCTGAATTCCGTAAGAATCGGTCGTGTGCAGCTCCAATTGGGACACTACGGATCATCAATATTGAATCCTGGTATTACACAAAATATGTCAATGTCCTGAAATACAGTTAAAAACTGCAATTAAAATAGTCAAAGTATCTGTGAGCACACTAATTATACAATACAATTGAGGACAGGTAAGTTAAAACATATAGTAATTTAAGTTTGGCAATTTTGTGCTACTAGTATCGGATATAATAAGTAGCCAATTAAAACGTAAGGTTATTATAGGCAGTTATGAAGAGCAACGTATGGATCACAATTCATAAATGATTAAAAGGCATTGATGAATACAGAGTATATAATAATGATATTTTATTTAAATACCAAGTAAAATAAACACTCGAAAACAATATTTAGACTTAAAATAACACGATAGTTAATAAATACTGCGGAGAAATATAGATCTAGATAAAATGTGAGAAAAATTGATAAAGATAGACATTTTAGGCAAGATGAACTTAGTTATCATTTTATGATTATTATTTACACTGAATAGAAGTTATAGAAGAGTTAGTTTTGACTTAATTTTCCTCAACATCGGATTGTATCGATTTCGCTGTGATATTTACACTTGATGACGAACTGAACGGTAAAGACTGTGAGGCAGCAGCCAGCTGAACTCTACTTAAGGGCAATAAAGGAGGATGATCAGTACCCGTACCCATTAGACCACCATACTTATTGTAAAAAGACCTATAAAAAAAGATTCAACTAGAGAATAAATAAATAATTATCTTATACACATTAGATATACTTTGTGTAAAAATTAAAAAATATAGACTTTGAAATAAATAATTATATTGCAAGATTATAGCAGCTTACATGGTCAAATTTATTTATTTCCTGACTTTCTACAGTAACGTTTTTCAATGTTAAACCAATTAAAAATGATTTTCCGAAAAATTTAACAAATCATTATATACATATTTTTGCACAATGTATGTTTTGAAATGATTTAGTTCTTCATCCCTGTTCCCATATAACACCATTTTTTAAAAATGGATAAATTAATGTTCCCATAAACACGTTTAGAACTGATTCACTGAATTTTTCTAAGTTGATAGTTCAAAATCTAACATATCATGATCTCGAGATGATAGAAGATGTATAATCATATTTTTAAGAAAAATGGAGTACGATCCCGTTATAGCATGAGAGCATTAAAACGTTATTCTCATACGCTAAATTTAAGATGTATCCTCAGTGGTTTTCCTCTATATTTGTGCCAGTAGAATAATCTAACCTTAGTAACCATTTAGAATAGCTTACTTACCCCTGTAATAATGGTTGCTTTTCCGTTGAAACTCTTGAAGAAGACGGATTAGATGGACGACAATAATCAACGGGCACAGGGTAGTTCACGGAACCTTCCGAATCTATTTTATTGTATACCTTGGGAGATGAAAGCAAATTATACAAACTGGATGCAGAATTTGCATTGGATGATAAACTTGGGACAGGAAACATTCGAGGTACATAACATGAAGCTTGGGAACTTGGTCTAATCTCTCCCAATAATGAAAGGCTATTGCTAGGGGTGTGTGCATTAGTATTTGTGTATGCATGTTTTGAGTTTGATGTATGGTAATTTTGAGCTTCAGATAATTCACGTGCATCTTGTAAACGAATCAAACACAACGCTAGTGAGCCAAAGCATATACTGCTAACAAACCATATTACGACAACAATAACATCTGAAGATAAAATTTATGAATTTTTAACAAACAATTAGGAAATAATCGTTATTACACTAATCATCATTAATAACAGTATAATCCTTAGTACTACTATTATTGAGGCTAAATAATGATTGTATAAATAGATTATTTGTAAACCAGTTTTAAAATTCATTCACACTACAAAAGACTTCTCAGTCCACGACATAAACTTGACCTTTGTAGAGTTTATATCGCCAACGATCTATGTAGTGAGTCTTATGTTAATATTTTTACAGTATACTTATAATAAGGAACATTCCCGGTTACGTGGAACTGAGGTGAATAGATCCATTAATCTATCATTTAGATAACATAAAAACTACTTTACCTACATTGGTTTGAGTTGTGGTATGATGTCATCATGAGCGGTCACTAACTAGTATTATTTAAGACGAATTACTCATAAAAGTTATTTAAGAATGACGACAAGAAAAAAAGTTTCTCACTTATGCAAAAAATAAATATGGTCATATATTCAGCAGAAACAATAAATAATCAACTATAATTAAAATCAATCCAAATATACAAAAGTTTCAGTTATGAGGCTGAAAAATGGATCCAAATAAAGAAAAACTCTATTCCGCAAATTTAACTAACCTTTTAAAATTACGGACAGAAACTTATGCAAAAGATACAATGGAAACGGTTATAAACCAATAGAATCATGCAACTTCAGTTAACAATTCATATCATTTTGAAAATTCGTCAGTGTAAAGACTACGCTTCAAAGAACAAAACTAATCTTAAACAAACCTGATCTGATTAAAGTAGAAAATGTACAGAAATGAACATGGAAGTATGAAAATAAATATTTAAAAATTACCATATTGACCATAGAATTGGATGCGTAGAGTACGTAGTCTTATATCAAAACAGGTTAACATCAAGAAATATTCAATTACAATGTGAGGTAATAAACAGCTTGGTATGAGAAAAAAACTTGCACAGCATAGTGTAACGTAGAAACCAAGAAGAGCAGTTGAAATACCGAATGCCTGAAAATTAAGAAAAATTTAGTAAGTCAGTTTTCGGAGATCCCATTTGTGAATAAGATAAATGATTCTATACAAAAATCTTGCATACGTAAAAACTAATACACTTACTATCTATTATAATATACGGATATTATAGAAATGTTTGGAATGTTTCATAAAACTCACAAAAAAGAAGTATTAACGCAATAAATACAAAAGTGTTATAATCAAGTGATACATCGATTAAGTTAAAACTGTTTATAATTTCAGCTTACAATTATTAAAATTCGAAATGTAGCAACTAGAGAGTGTAGTTGTGTACTTTATCTGTGAAAAAAATAACCAACGTAAATTATACTCTAATGACAACGAAGTGAATTAATAAGAATTTAGTATTTTCAAATTATTCTCATTCTAGTGGACTTCTTTAGAAAATTAAATTCAACTCATTTACAAGGTACTTGCTTGGGTGTGAGGGCTAATGATACTACTCGGTTCCCGAAACCGAAGTAGGTGGGGTGGGGCTTGAACCTAGAAAGTCGAATGGCCTAATTACTAATTCACCACTCAATCCGCAATGTGTACGTCAGTTATGTAAAAGGCAGCCGATGAAACTGATCTTCGTTAAAATTGTTTTTTAAGACTAGCCTTTATAGCACTAACCAATAAAGTGAATATTATCGAAAAAAACTGATGGAGATCTCTATGAAAAGGTGTGAATAAAGATCTACTTCGTCGATTTTTTCTTTTTCTTAAGGATTTTTACGCAACACGATATTTGAGCAACTGTAATGTTAAAATTTAAGAAAAAAAACATTATTACACTAATATATGTAATAAGAAATCCTAACACCTGTTAATACTGTTCGTTTCACACTTAAAAAAAGAACATTTTATGACTACCTTTGAATAACATTTTATGAACTAAATTTCTGTACTTTTGTCCAACTCTCTTCACTTTACCTTTCATTTCCCCTGCCATTGAGGCTGATATCTTGTGATCCTACCGCTTATGCTTGGAGTATTATTCTAATGTTCCATTTTCACGCACATTGTAAGTACATTTAGGCATAACTGGAGGACTATGTCGTCCTCACTGTGGACCAATTACATTTTCTAGTTAATGATATGTCTTTTGTCTTTACTATTAACTGAAGTTATATGCAGACGACAGAGGTATCACGATCTCAATATCAGCGATTAATTACTAGAGATGTATTATTTATCTATCATTCCTTAACCTACACATTATTATTTATTACACAAGTCTATCAAGTTTTCTAAATAATTTATAATTGAACTAGCAAAAAAACTTACAAAATTTTTGAATATACTCAGCAAGCCAAGCAATAATCCTGACATTATTGTACAGAACGCAAAAAAAGAAACCGAAGATTTGTCCAATTTTAGAGAACGATCTGAAGAAAAAGAGTAATTGCATATATATGAGTATTGCAGTTGAAATATCGATAATTACAACTCACTTAAGTACATAGAATAGGAATCAAATCAAATGGAGTCACCGCGAGACGGTATTGACAGGTGATTAATAGTTTTAAGTAGATTTTGTGCACACGCAATAGGGGAAACAATCGGTGCTATGTTGATGAATCTACAAAATAATAGTGTCAACGGTATAATCCTGTCTCCAGGAAAACTACAATTTCCTTATTTTTTTACGCGGTATTATGTGTTTCGTAAACCTACTTTATCCCCCTTCTAACCCCTGTACAAACAAATAATTGGTAGTTGATATATTGTAGACTATAACATCACTTTAGTGTGGATGCTGTCTTCAGACCACTTTGCTGCTTATGGATATCCTGCAGAGACCTGAGTGCATCAAATACATGTTCATTATTGCAATTGACAATCTCATTATTGGTTAAAGATAAGGGTACGAAATGTTATACGGCGTTGTCTTCATCCACTATCGATCTTTTAGAAATGTTTTATCGGCGAGATTATAATTTATGGACGAGCCAATCAGATTTACGATAACAGGTCTTAGATTTTGGCGCGAAGTTCATTCACCCATTTGTCTAAATAGAGACTTAGTATTATAGCTTGTGTCAGTTCGTGATGAAAACCCTAAATCGAATTCTTAACCCTAACCATCAACTGTAAATCATAATCCTTATTCTTTAAACTGCTTCATAACCCTCATTTAGCCCTAGTAAGTGGGTAGACACCCTCAAGGTCATTTTAGCGTCGCTCATAGGCCGTCCATAAATTATAGTATTACCGTTTCATCTTTTAACAAGCCACAAATCACGCTCATACTGTTGGGACGATACTCTGAAGGTTCGAAGTATTCGAATTATAGTACGAACTAGGAATAGCAGAAATAATTCAATTTAGCCAAGAAGTACTAGATGAACACGAACGAACGTATTGTATTTGGAATAGGAAATCAGGCAGTTATCAAGTGAAAAAGAATCACCAGTTCATACAAACACCACAGATATGACTTACTATTTCTTCCTAGGATAACGGTACAATAGTTGTTAATCTCTGTATCTTATATAGGTATTATATTTCCTCAACCGCATGGTGAACAACTTCTGTGTGTTTGCCTACACACGACTTTCTCTTAATTCCCAACGTAACATAAATAGTCCCAACTTATCTTAAAAATTCTTTATCTTTAATCTTGTAAGTCTTTCCTATTTATGTAAACCCTACCACTTTTATTGGAAACATCACTAACTAAATATACTCAACCAAGTGTCTACACCAGATCACATTTGGTCGCACGGTACAGAGCAACTCTTACGATAATTAATCGGGTTAGGTGAGATACACAACAATACATCGATCTTTTTTCAATACTACGTTCTGATCCTTTCGAGTTTAGTTGATTTTAGAGTCATAGTATAAGAAACTTTGGACTGATCCAGTTACGATATCTATTATACTTTACGCAATATTAGATGATGTACAACTCTTCCACTTCAAAAGTAGTCACAGTAGTGACTGTAATACTCAGACCTTCAATACTTGACCAGAAACTATGAATTGTGGCACTTTTGGAAATGCTATTAATTTAGAGGACCTTTGTTACGAAAACTGTGGTTCATAATGCCGTATCACTTCTAAAATACGTTCATGAGGCAATCTTGTATTTCTGAACATTTCAACAGTTTTCTTTCTAGATTATGCAGCTCATATTGTATCCAAACTTAAAATATTTGAATCATTAGAGATCACAGTCAATCATTTATTAAGAAAAGATGTTCCAAACAAACAAAAAATGTTTATCCACACATAGCGGGACGACCCAAATAGATCAGGGAGAAACAATCCAATAGTAGTCAAACTGCGGTCGGAGAAACATTATATCATACAAAAAAAAAATTAAATACCGATTCAGAATGTATTGATGGATAAAAAAAGAAACAGAAGTAAGCAAGATACATGAGAATGAAAAGAGTAACTTTATACCTTGGGCGAATAAAGAATTTACGACAAATATAATGCACACAAGAGGGATTTTCACTCATACATAAAGGACGTTGAAAATTATTAAAACAAACAGGCATCAAACTAGCGCAACAGATAACAAAAGTAAACATTAGATTATACTGGAAGTTTAATGCTAAATCAACCAGAAGTAATCAACTGAGCGTGCAACCTGAATAGGCAGCCACGAATCATGGGCTACTAATTAGCTTAGCGGATAAGAAGTTGGCGATCAAAGCGCACAATAAGATCTAGCCCCAGTGTAAATACAAATAGGAAGCAGGTACATAGAGCCGACGCGATTCAAATAGGATGAACCAGGTGTCTTGGGTCTTCTTGGTCACCACAATCCAAATGTCTTTAAAAAGTAGTAGTCTTTTCAACGTACGCACCCTGTGTCAAGCGGTCAGCATGTCTCCTTGGATAACGCCCTAAAATCTAGTACCATTGGTGTATGCTGTGTCTTCGAAACACACATACAGGACCCTAGTGTGGTCATACACTAGACCTCACCTTGCCAAAACGGAGAGCCGACGAGATACACCCTCCGTTTACCTGGCTAGTTCGCGTAGACGATGGCAGAACAAACACTGTTAGAATGGATCCCTATCAACAGTCGTCTATGTGCTGTTCGACTAAACGGCTCCATTAAAACTCCAAAGGATAGTGACGCAAGTCGTTGCCCTTTCGTCGTTTCTGCCTACGCTCCCACTGACTGCAGTCCGGATGATGTTAAAGATGACTTTTACAGAAAGCTTTCTGAACTTCTTCAGAAAGCTAAACGCTCAGACATAGTACTCATAGCAGGTGACTTTAATGCCCAGGTAGGTAGATAAAACCAAGCAGAAAGATATTTAGGTGGGTATTTCACTATTCCGGCTCAGCGAACAGATAATGGTGATCGTCTGCTGCAACTTTGCTCAGACAATCGTTTATTTTTAGCAAACACTAATTTCAAGCCTAAGGAGAGACATCATCTAACATGGCGACTCCCGGAACCAAACTAACGATGGACTCAAATAGACCATATTGGCATCAGTCATCGTTGGAGAGGGTCGATAGAAGATTGTTTCTCATTCTAGAAAACCACTTTAGCCTCTGGTCGTCGTCTGATAAGAGCACGCATTAGCTTGCGCCTCACTGGACATAGAAAAACCACACTAAGAAGACCCATTAAAATTGAATTGAGTGACAAAAAAAACAGAAAGTAGATTCCATGAACAACTGAGGTCACAAATAGGTAGTACTGAAAACGAGGCTGACCCAGATGTTGCTTGGAAAGATATACAAACAGCTGTAAAAACAGCAGTGGTGTCAGACAAGGCTGTTCAATATCTCCATTTTTGTTTAATTCCATCATAAGCCTACTGCTGGAAATAACGTTCTCGTCGACTGAATTTTCGGGCATTGATCTTCTACTAGGAGGTCCACTTATCGACTGAGAATACGCAGATGATATAGTCCTGTATGGTGAAGACGCTGATAAAATGCAGTCTTTTGGTAGCACCGAGCAACAATGCCAGGATGTTTGGGATGTGTTTCTCTCCTTCTAAATCCAAATTGTTGCTACAGGACTGGTCTGCGTCAACACCTGAACTAAGGATAGGGAGTGAAGTAGTTGAACACGTCGACAACTTCACTTATCTTGGAAGTCTGATCAGCCCTAATGGGTTGGTGTCTGACGAAATCTCAGCACGGATTCGAAAAGCTCGGTTGGCGTTTGACAACTTATGTCGCCTATGGCGAAGGTGAGATATCCGGCTATCAATTAAGGGACGAGTTTACTGCGCAGCAGTTCGTTTTATTCCATTTTACGGCTGCGAAACGTGGCCATTAAGAGTAGAAGATACTTGTAAGCTACTAGCGTTTGATCACTGATGTCTTAGAAATATTGCTCGCATCTGCTGGGATCACTGGGTAATTAATAGTGAGATTAGACGCAGGGTATTAGGGAATGATGGTAAATCAGTTGATGAGGTTGTGAATCTTTATCGACTGAGATGGTTGGGACACGTGTTACGTATGCCTGAACAACGATTACCACGACGCACAATGCCGACTAGTGTTGGGGATGGTTGGAAGAAAGTTAGGGGCGGACAAACCAAAACATAGCGTCAGTCCTTGAATTCACTAACTCCTAGTCTGAGTCATGTTGGTAGATACAGACTACTTGGGGTCCGCGTGGCTATTATAATGGTCGAAGACGCTGGGTGAAATAAATCAGAATCGATCACAATGGTGTAGGTATATACACAATCTGTCTTCCCTTAAACTGTGAGATTAAATTAACTTATACCTTTCCTTCTACGAACTAATTCTTTCTTCTATACTATACCCTTATATGCAATACTTCTTTTACATATTACTATCATTCAAGTAACTACTTCTATAAATTCGGTGTTCATCCTGTTGTGCTAATGAGGTGTGGCAACTTGGACCGATGTATATACGTGCCTGGTCCTACTTTGTAGCTGACTGACTGAAACAGAAGTATCAAAGTAAAACAATGAAACAAGATGAATTTGATACCATTGCGGTATTTTAAGCTCAGTTCTCAATTTATGTATTTATTTATTAAAACACAAACATTGGTACAAGTGGGCATCTAATACATGCACTCCTTACTTCGTCATTCGATTTTTGTGAGGGCTGTGATACTGCCCGAACGTCCAAACCAAAGCAGGTGGTTTTCTTAGGGCACTACACCCAGAGCCTTTGACCTACAAGTCTAATGCACAAGACAGTGAAGTAAAGTTAGGAGATGCACTTCCATAGTAGCCGGTGACCAAAAATAGGTTCATACGCCTTTTGTTCCTTTAGGATACTGGAGCCTATGTGCACCATTGGTTTGGAATCAGGGTTTTCCAACTCCCCTAGGTGAACTCTCTGAGTCCACCAACCCAGTTAAAGCGCTGGATATCGTCTTCTCAATTTCTTAAACAACACCTCTCCGCGAGAAGGCAGTGAGTAGGACTTCCCTGGTAGTGATTGTATATGCGTGGCCATGTAAGAGCATTTCGGGAGAGAGTGCTGACTCTCCCCACTCTCTGACGTACCAGGGCATTAGGGGGCAGTCCCGGATAACTAAAGCAACCTAGTAACTCATTACATATTTATGTACATAGACATGAGCCATAAATTTTTATCCATGGAATAGTTTAACTACGCGGATGACCAACATGAACTAATCAACCTTACTTAAGTGTTAACGATGTATTACCCAAACAAACAAATACCTTGAAATTCCTTCTTTACTCCGAAAGTTTCAGTAATTAAATTAATATCATACACATATACATATATGGTAAAATAGACAATAGATAAAGTTCTGTCGATTTTAAATACTTATTCTATAGAAAAATAAGTGACAGAATAAATTTACTAGAAAAATTTTCAAAACGTACCAAGAGAGATGGAGAGATAACCGATTAGAATAAATACAGTCGGCAAAACGGGGAGTAAACGAGCAAAGCGACGAGGTCTTAGGGTGAAGGGTTTAAGTGGACGTGCCAAGGTTTTTGAAGATTTTTGTGAACTTCTGGACCTTCGACACAGCTGAATGCCATAAATTCGAACACAAGTGTAACCTTCATTATCATCACTAGCACCCTGTTCGTTTGAAACATATGCACCAGAATGAGCTGGGGAAGGTTGATGCACTAGATCGTTACACAGCTGTAATGCTGAAATACTGGACTCCTCCTCACTAACTGGAGCCAAAACATTAACAGTATTAATTGGTGTATGTTCAGTCTGTGACGACGATCCGAAAGGAGCATCAACATTTTGATAGCTGTTATCTAACACATCTGAATTCCACGGTTCGTTAACAAGAACAGTTGCAGAATTTTCCACCTTCACCAGTGGACCTTGTCCAAACATACGTTGGTAGTACAAAGTAGGACGAACGTAACGCCACCACAGTATTACAAACACAAACAATGCGAAGAAAGCTGGCAAAAAAGCACTCGCTATTAAAATAAGGTAAGCTATAAATAGAATGATCAAAAAGGAAAAATATTTCAATAGCATGGGATAATTCTTGAAAATTGCAGAATTTTTATGGGCTGCCATTGAAAACCTGGAAGTACTAGACAGTCGTTTCATGCTAGTGTAAGACTTCTCAGCAGGGCGCATCCGGTAACTAAACCAAGGACCTTCGGTTCCTTGTACGAACGTTTAACTTCTAAACCACTGAGCTGGCATCTGAGTGTTGATGTTTAACTTCGATCAACTCAGGATATTACGCAAACAATATCCAATGCTCGCAATGAATAGCTATCTCATACCCGACACGGTTCGCGATTCAAACTATGAAAATATATTTTAATCCGAAATTAATTGACTCGAAAATAATGCACAATAAAAACCAATAATGTGTAAACTGTGATACAATGCTTGAAGATTTAGCCCAGCAGTCAAGTTTTCATCGATTGAACAACGAGTGTCCTACAAGCTAATTCCCTCAAAGACATTTTAGCATGTTTATATTGTGTTTATATTCTGCATAGAAACACTTCAACTGGTTACAGAATAAAACCTACTATTTTGGCTCAGTGGACTTGACTTTGATTTCAAATTATTTGAGGCCCAAAGTCAATAAAATAGTTTAGTGAGCAACCATAACCATATCATGATATTGTGTCCATTTATTGACCAACATTATATTCATTAATTTTAACAATCAAAAAATTCGCTCATCAAATAATCAACCTCCATACTAAACTGGGACTGTGATCAACATATTCAACTCAACTGTTGGTTTTCGTAAATACGTTTTTGTAGACAATTAATCCATTATTGACATTCATGATTTTTATCACTTCAGCATTACTTATTATGGACATAAGGAATAAGTTACTGATAGATTATAAATAGCTAACCGACTGACCAAGAAATGGAACCACCTTAAGGGAATACTAAAGACTGGTTCAGTAAGTAATTAAATGTAGATTAACTGAGGCTTGTAATTATTTATTTATTTATTTATTTATTTGAGCACATGAATATTGGTACAAGAGAGCGCCAATATATATGCGCCACACAAAACAATGAGAAATCGAAGAGAAGTAGAAAAAAAAACTAAGGAGCGCAAAAGAAAAAGAGAACAATGACGAAGAGATTGGAGTAAGGTACTGTGGTAGTAACGACGGAACGAAAAGGTACAATCAGAAGAAATCTTTCAGGTAAAGGAGACACAACCACTTTTTATGAAGAAAGTAAAAGAAGGTTACAGCAGGATCGCCACTGGCTTCTATTCTGAGCCATATCTGATAACGTCTCTAGCCACTGTGTAGCACCATCTCTCGGACCCCAACCAGGGAGTCGTGAAGGACCAACAGAAGCCAGTCCTTTGCAGCTTTCTTTCATACCACGACACCATGTCATGCACTGACCACCTCTCCGCTTCTTCCAACCAGTCCCAGAGTCGGCAAATAATGCACGACGTGGAATTCTCTGGGACGACATTCGGAGAACATGTCCAAGCCACCGAAGTCGGTGTTTCAAGATGGTGACACCAATTGAATTATCATCTCTGTGCCCGAACACACGATGCCGAACCTCTGCATTACTGACATGGTGTTGCCACTGAATGTCAGCAATCCTTCGGAGACAGCGATGATCGAACACAGAGAGTCGTCTAACGTCCCCAACTCTGAGAGGCCAGGTTTCACAAGCATAGAGCAAAACTGCTCTCACCGACGCGTTGTAGATCCGGCCTTTTACAGCCAGACTAACATCACGAAGGCGCCAAAGGTGGCCCAGATTGGCATAAGCCGCTCTGGCTTTCACTATTCGTGCATTGATCTCATCACTCACACCCCCACCAGCACTTATGCAGCTACCCAGATACACGAACTTCTCAACTACGTCTATCTGCTCACCATCCAGGGTGAGTACAGGATTAGAATCCTGCCAGTCTTGTAGAAGTACTTTGCACTTCGAAGGTGCAAAGCACATACCATACCTACGGACACTGATTGCCAACTGATTAAGTGCGGATTGCATGCCTTGGGCATTATCGCACAGTAAGACAATATCGTCCGCATACTCAAGGTCGAGAAGTCTTTCTCCAGGCAACAGATCCACACCACCATTACTTACATTCATCAGAGCTGTTTCCAGAATGTCATCGATGGCAAAGTTGAAGAGGAATGGTGAGATTGGGCAACCCTGCCTAACCCCACTGCTCGAATGGAACAATGGAGAGAGGTGGTTGTATGCCCTCACTCTGCCTGAGGTGTTTTATATAGGGCTTTTAGGATGTTAATAAACTTCTCAGGCACACCCTTCTTCAATAGACAATCCCAGAGAACAGTCCTATCCAACGAATCGAAGGCAGCCCTGATGTCAAGAAACACTACGATTGTTGGCCTTTGAAAAGTATGGCGGTGTTCTAACATTTGGCGGAGGGTGAAGATATGATCAATACATCCTCGACCAGAACGAAACCCAGCCTGCTCCTCGCGAGTCAATCTTTCTCGGGTTTTGAACAACCTACGAAGAATGACGGAAGCCAATAGCTTGGACGCAATCGGAAGTAAACTTATCCCCCGATAGTTGTTACAGGAACGACGTGAACCCTTTTTAAAGATAGGGACAACTATCGACTCATTCCATGACGTTGGTACACTCTCTAGTTCCCAAACCTTTGTAAACAACGTCGTCAATTCCTTAGTCAAAAAGTCACCACCATCTTTAAAAAGAGCCGGAGGTAAGTCATCTGGGCCAGGTGATTTGTAACGCTTCAAGAGTTGGAGTTCCTTGCGGACTTCCTCCTCATTTGGTGGATCAGTCGTCACCGGCCATGGAGGGCAGGACAGTCTGACCGATGTTGCCGGAGCAGCAGGCCAGTTGAACTGCCCTTCGAAAAATTCTGCCCATCGTCCAAGACGTCGATGGATGTTAGTGATTGGCATCCCATCATCCTCGCAGATTGTTTCACTCACACCAGACTTCTTGCTGCCAGTGGCTCGGATGAGCTGGAAGAGCTTCCGGTAGTTACCAGATGCAGCTGCTGCTTCCAGCTCATTAGCACGCATCGACCACCAGGCTTCTCGGTCCTTACGCAAGCTTTGCCCAATTTCCTTACGTAACATCCTTCGTTTATGGTCAAACTCACGGTCACCCGGAGTAGACCGACGGGCTTCAATGAGTTGTAAGGAACCAGAAGAAACCCAGTGCTTAAAAGCGGGACGTTTCGCAAACCCACAACTGACTGTTCCGGCCATTTTCATGGCGTCATGCAATTGCAACCAATGCTCATCTATACTTTTCGGTGGAGTGGTAGCTAGCCTAGAGGCTAGCTCGGTTCGATACTTACTTGCAACAGAAGTTGCAACCAGCTTGCTAACATCAATCTTTTGGTGGCGGTCACTTCGTTGTCCACTGAAAAGTAAGGCAAGATTGGCGCAGACCAAGGCATGGTCAGAGTCCAGATAGGTACTCCAAAAGGAGCGGCAGTCTTGTACACAACCACGCCAGCGGTAGCTGATCGCGATGTGATCAATCTGAGTCCAGGCTTGAGATGCAGAGGGAGGACGCCAGGTGGCACATCGGCGATGACTGTGCCGAAAGTTAGTGCTAGCCAGAAACAGGTTGTGGTCTGTGCAAAGTTGCAGTAGACGGTCCCCGTTATCTGACCTGCGACCAACGAGTCCCCATCGGCCACCTAAACGACTCTCTTCTGTGCCTAGACGCCCGACCTGAGCATTCAAGTCTCCGGCTAGTACTACAATATCTGTCGAACGCACTTTCTGGAGAAGAACAGATAACTGGTGGTAAAACTCATCCTTGATTGCATCCGGGCTGCAATCTGTCGGGGCATAGGCGGAGATGACGAAAAGACATCGTTTCTCACGCCGATTTCTTCTCACTTTGATGGAACTTTCTAATCTAACAGCACATAACCGACTGTTAATGGGGATCCAATCGACTAGTGCTGCCTCAGCTCTAGCGCTTAGTGCGACACCAACTTCAGCAAGACCAGACGAAGATGCCACAGGGTCCCCGGATAAGCGCACGTAAAACAAGCTTTTCGAAGCGACAGATGGATATCGAATTTGTAGTACTTCGCCAGAGTCTTGAATACGGGTCTCGGATAGACAACAAACATCAATATTAAGACTTTCCAAAGACATAGCCAGCCCTATCTGTTGTCCGACCTGCATAAATGTGCGAACGTTGAAGGCAGCCAGTTTGAATGGTGCACGTGGTTTTAGAAAAACTGCTTCAGTCCTCGTATTCGGTGGTAACATACAATTTTCAACCGGACAGTGACTCGAGAACGTTTAGATACAGTCGAATTTCCACCAAAGACGAGCCGCTGTATAAGTATAAAAGAGGGTGAAAAATGTGGAAAATAATAATAATAATGATGATAATAACAATAATTACAATAATAGTAGTAATAATAGTATTAATAATGACAATAATTGTAATGATAATAATCTGAATCAATTGTTTGTTTTTCAAAGCGAGAAAGGTAATTTCCATAGGCATAAAGAGTTCATCAATTTGTGTGTGGGCTGTGATACTGCCCGGGTGCCCAAACCGAAGCAGGTGGTTATCTTAGGGGGCCACTCCCCGAGCCTTTGACCTAAAGGTCTAACCCACAAGGCAGTGGAGCATCGTAAGGAGATGCAGTCCCATGGTAGCCGGTGACCAACGATTGGTTCATACGCCATTTGTTCCCGCAGGATACTGGAGCCCATGTGCACCATTGATTTGGAATCCGGTTAAAGCGCCGGACATTCGCTTTTGGATATAACGGAAAAACTACAGCAACAACAAAGACACGTTCACTTGTTATTTTCTTTAACTATTAGACTTTTTTTCTTATATTCCAAAATTTTCTTAATTATCTTTCTGAACTATTTTTGATTATCTATCAACATCTTTTTGAAACGTGGTGACTAAAAACGAGACAATTGTGTTGAACATCACCTACTTCACGCGACCAATAAGACAAAAGTTCATAGATAATAATGAATGAAACGAAGTTATAGGCCAGTTGTTTAAAAAGACTTTCTGATAGTGAGTATTAGGCTGCTATGATCGTACTGTGAGTTAGCAGCAGATTGAAGGTTTGAATCCTACTCTAGCTACTTTGTTTGGACAGCCAGGTAGCACTAATAATCTGTTCACATAATGTCGATTAAGGCTGAATACACAAGCCAGAATATGATAAACGGGTTGCATCAAATTAGTGACATAGCAAAATTAATATTTATACAGAAAAAACTGCTAGTCCTTAGTAAGAGTCAAATACAAAGTTATTGAGGCGTACAATATACATTAGAGCGACAATTACCAAGTTTTAATGTTTATGAGTTCATTATTAACGTCTACAAGACTTGATGCCTTATATCCATAGGTATGTGATAGATTTTTGGAGGCACTTTAGTTTCGTATCAGTGCTTAAAAACAGGTGTAAAATAATGAGTACTGCTTATACCTCTCTAAATATACTTGGGAAAATCGGTAGAAACTATAAAGTTACTGCTCATCCAACCTACATTCAATAGTTGGGACATGTTTTACATGCCAAAAGCTTGATATTAGAACTGGTGAAATAAGATTATTTGTACTAATGAATCAGTCATCATTAACGTAGAGCCGTTGGTTCAAGAGATGATAGTCTTTTATCGAGCCAAGAATAACCCGCTGTCAAAGCATAATTGTAGCAGATGATCAACGTCATTTGTCCATTAGTTTGGGACACCATAAGACCAACTTAATTTTCTTTTCATTTTGACTTATCCTACCACCTTGAACGCTATGCCCACTTGCTACAACTAACCCATTTGAGGCCCTGACTTTTTTAAGATCATTAAGTTTCGTGCAAAGTTTATATTTTACTCCATCAGAGCTGCAGCCAGTGGGAGATAGGTAGAAATGAGGAAAAGGCAACGGTGCGTTTCTATCTTTCAGAGTTCTTGCTGTGACTTTGAGACGGACAACACATAAAATGCTGTCAACAGGAATCCAGTTGTGCATGTTCTTCCTTATATATACTTACACCAGCAAGACCACGAGGATCTGCTGTCATGCCCACAGATACACAAGGTGTAAATCATGTTACTTATCCATACTGGTTAAGTGATTTCAAGTGGATGACCACGTTAGAACCCATTATACGTGGTCAGAAGATACAGTATACATCAGTGGCGCGATATTATGGTGTCTTAGTCAAACCTCTTTGCAATCTGATATATGTTTGGACATTCAAGACTTCAATATATGTGGTTTCATATCTGAAATAGTATTTTGTGAACTCGAGTAGTTAGCACTATTGGTACATATAAAAGTTGAAAACAGAAAATGAAGGTTTACAGTAGAAACAGAGGAAATATTGGGTAGTGAGGATGGGGTTTGATCATAAATGACGTGAGGTTGCTACTTTGCGGTTACCAACAATGAGGAAGGATAGTTCTTGATATCTGTAAAAGAGGCTGGGTTATCAGCAGTCTTAGCGGCTAGCAAGCGTGCAGCAATACCTAAGGAGCAACTACTTGAGGCTGGTATCCAGGCGCACAATTTTCTAACACCACTCTCAAGCTAACGAGCTTTGGAGTACAAGCACTGACTATACTAGTTCTACAATTATCAGGTCTGTTTTTCTGAGATCTTACATCAAGACATGTTACTAATAAAAATAACCCAGCAGACTAAATCTGCCATGATATCCTATCAATTGAGGGGAAGGTAATCAGACGAGGTATAGAAACTAATGAATCGATAGTTATGGCAAACTGCAATTATTCAAACTAAATCAAATTACTGATAATAGATCCTTACTTTCATTAGGTTCGTCTGAAAATCTGTAGAAAAATATCAGCCCAATGACAGACCCCATAATCATCGCACTGACTGCACAGCCTAAAATGAACAATTAAAGACTGAAAAACAGATTAAATGGTAGAAATGTGGCTTTCATGAACACTGAAAGTGTATTATTCATACATATTGATCAACTTTCCAGAATACTGTAATTACATCTATTCAAGTGATGAAAAATAATCAGTGCTTCATTAAGTTTATGATATTAAGCAATAACTGTAGAGTTGTGACTGTTCGGCTTGCATTTAAATAGTTTAAAACATTATTTGACCATATGAGTTTTGGAAGACTAGTACCTGTAATAAATACGGCTCACGGTTCAAGGACACATACGTAGTTGCTATTGCCTCGGGAACTCACAACCTATAAGTATAAGGTATTTTTGCATGCACAACTGTTGGGGGATATATAATTTCAAATTACAACTCATGAGAAGGAAATCAGTATCAATTAGGTTGAAATTCTGTTACAGCAAATTATATAATGTGAACACTATTCGCGAAATTTCAACGCATTTTTACGATATTTTAAAGTACTTGGTTTAAATATTCTGATCATTTTTTATGAATAGATCATGGAAAAACTTAATGTATTTTGATTAATTAATCAACATCGCATAGCTTCGTCTGCAAGACTGGTGTTTTTATACTAGCTAGTGGGACAGGGAAAAGAAGAGGATAGAAGTAGTTTCATTCACAATACTGAAGTCAGAGTACGGTGTACCAACGTATAAACAACCACATAGCCAAAAATATACGAAAGAGTGAATTACATTATTTCTCAAATCACTGTAAGACATAATGGAAAATCAAATACCATAACAAACCGAAGCAAAAACAGGCGAAAAGGTATTGTATCGTAGGCCTTCAACAATACTTCTCTTTTACTAATATTATCCTTGCTTTCTAGAAAGTATCAACATTATTTGAGTAATCAGTAAGTTCGAATGGCATTAAACTGATCGCATCTACTGATAAATGGGTATTGGAGTCGAAATTTGAACCCCCACTTGAACGATAAGTAATATCGCATAACAGCTGAAAACCCACTAAGAGACATATAAGGCTTTAAACGAAGTGGAGACTAACCTTGCAAAAGCATATCACATGACATCATAAACTTACGGCAATATATTTGATAAAATATATGATGGTCCATCAGACGTTTACAGCTCTAAACTGTATGTATGATTTAGTCTCAAACAGTCATGAAAATGAAGAACCTAGCGCAAATTTACATCGACCCAAATTGTTGCACTATACATCACCATCAAAGTCAAAAAATAGGTGTCAAAGGAGTCGAACTAATACCTGTTACAACGATAGCAAAAGACTAAAACTAAGAAATGTACTCTAAAAAAGAACTAATAGAATCCATGAATCAGGAGTACAGAATTATATTAAAACTCGAGATCTGAAAGTAAAAAATGGGCATGGAAATAAGATTTGAATACAACTGACTAACTGATTCTGGAAACTGACTACACTTCATCTACCTAATGCATATAACTAATACATAAACCAGTTGATCATTGAAGTACTATTCTAATGTGGTAGAGTTGAATGAAACAAAATATGTATTTACACTAAAAACTGGGTATGTAAAGCAGTTTTCTGACATTCTTAAACTGGTTGCGAGTAAACATTGAAAGATTAGATTTTTTCGAACGGGATGTTCTTGTTAAATAGATATATACTTTTGTAATAACCCTTATGATGAAATTAAGTGAACTACCATAATGATCGCTTTGGTTGTAATAGGAAAAAGAAACTTTGAAGACACTATAACAACTAAGCCTAAGATCAACAGCTTAAATCATGTCCACTACTTATTGGAATAATTAGCTTCCATTGACAGTAACACTCAATGGTCAGAAACAGTGTATGACTACAGAAGCTTACTTTAAGTATAAAGCTCTGAAAACAAATAAGCGTCTGTACAGAAACAAAAACTTACGGGGCCAAATCCACATATTACATGAAGTAGCATATAGAAAACCTGCAAGAAGCAAGACAGCAACGGGAAATAGGATAACTGGTGTATCTTTAGGAAGAGTACCACAGTTGACTTCCAAACTAGCATTTGAAGTGGGTTGGTTATATACAGTACGGTAGAAACTGGGTGAAATTTGTGCAGGGCAACCAAAAAGAATGACAGGAATATAAGGTACTTGCCATGTATCACCAGAAATTGAATACTCCACAACAACAGTGACAATATATGCTGTAGCTGGACGACGTGAGACGATTATGTTAATAAATTCATCATTTGGTGTGAATTCACTATTAAAACAAGATCCAGGGTAAACTTAGTTGATACATTCAAATCCTACCAAAATATGCAGCAATAAGAAAACTGACAACAAACTTAAAATCTTATTTCCCTTTTAGACTTACGTTAGTAATAGAAAGCCCCCAGATGCCCTGGTACGTCAGAGAAGGGAGTCAGCTCTCTCTTGAAATGCTCCCACATGGCCACGCATATACAATCACTACCAGGGAAGTACCACTCACTGCCTTCTCGCGGAGGGGTGTTGTTTACGAAATTGCGAGGACGAAAACCGAATGCTCGGAGGTTTAACCTGGTTGGTTGACTCGGAGGGTTCACCTAGGGGAGCTGAAAAACCCTGATTCCAAACCAATGTTGCGCAAATGGTGCATGAACCAATCATCGGTCACCGGCTACCATGGGACTGCATCGCCTGACGTTGCTTCGCTACCTTTAGGTCGAAGGCTCTGGGTGTGGTGCCTCAAGAAAACCACCTGCCTAGGTTTGGCCACCCGGGCAGCATTATAGCCCATGCATTAATCAATTGACTTGTGTGGTGCATATGTATTCGGTGCCCCTTTGTACCAATATTTATATATTCAAATAAATAAATAAAAGTAATACAAAACTAATGCTCCTTAAAGTAATTCATATAAACTGACTAACATGTACGGAAAACATCCACAATGAGAGACTTATAATACATAGGTACAGAACAAGTGAAATAGTATATCAATAACAAACAGAAAATACTGAGCTGCACGTAGTGAATTCGTGCCTTAGGGGAATTAGCATTCGACTATCCACAATCGAAACCTAGCTCTTCTTAGCTTAAAACCAAAGAACTAAAGCCATATTTCGGAAATTAGGGTTATCAAAAACGTGATTGGTTACTTGCTATTGCATGTGAAGGTACACTACAGTTAAAACAGATCGAAGCCCAAGAACGGAAGGGTACAAAACCTAAACTAAAACTTGCCACCGTTGTTTGAGTGGGTTCGATGTGAGCTATATCTAGAAATGTGTAATGTTTAATAGACACACGGCACCTAAGCTTGAAACAAACTTTCAGTATTGTGAACTTCTTGCGTAACTTATATGACTGTACACATAACGTTCCTGAGACCAATGACAATAACGCCAATGAGACACTTACCTCTGGTGAAATGACTGTATGTAAGTACCAACAAATGACGAATGGCCAAAGTTGGCCATGTTTTTTAAGACTGATGCAACTTCACTGGGACTAGGATTCACGAAGGCTCCATAAGAACCACCAGCAGTTATTAGTGGTGTACCATAAACGTGATAAACTAGGCTCCCTGATGGCTTACTTTCGGTAATCCAGTGAGAACACGCAAAACCACCTGATCCGACAGGTGCCGAAGCTGCAGAGAGCTGGAGAGAAGACGTCCAATAGCTTAAAAACTCAATGCGTTTCGAGCTTGAAAGATTTATATTTTTAGTCATTATATCTGTAGTGATGGCTGCATTCATGAAACCACTACGCGAACTACGACCACAACCACCTGGCAATGGAACTACAATGATAGATATATAACACTACCATAAACGTACATTCTGATCCATATGCAACAGCTTTAACCCACACAATTAGCGGAACACTATAGGTAGAATAAACGTAGAATGTCGACAATGTTTTGTTTTCAACAAAACTAGCTAAGCCGCAATGAGCCGAGTATTGTGAAGTGTCATATGTAAACGAGGCTGATGTGGACACTAGTAGTGGGTTGAATGGGCTGTGTACTTGATACACAACAAATTTGCTCCACGGCGGAATTTTGATAACTTCGACATACACCAACCCATTGACAGTGATGTTCGTGAATGACCCATGTTCAATAGTGATTACCGTATGAGAAAAACACTCCTGAATATACCCAGAAGTTAACAACAAGTAAGGGCAGAGTAGGAACCACAACATACCGCCCATATCGAATTGCCGCTCGTGCGGCCCCAATTAAAAACTTCGCGTTTTCACTTTACTTTTTCAGTAGCCAAAATATCATCCCTATGGAAACTTTGAACTTCTGTGTATTCAGGAGAGACTTTTCTGATTTTTTGCATTTTGTTTGTAAAAAAAGATAGTTCGTTCTATTCACTTCGTATTAAACTTCTGTGCATATTAAGTTCTCACTTCCAACTTTACCAGGTAGAAATAGCAAAACGTTTGTGCCTTTGAATCTATATCTAGTGGCAGAGAAAAGTTTTTGGTTATTAAGAAATGGAGCTTTTATTCTGCTTCCTCTGAATCTAGAAAACATGGGTACAGGGTATTTTGGGAGCTTTAGCTGAACTGTATCTACCTTAAACTTCAAGCATCTGATCGTTAGATGGTACGTCGAATATCTCTAGGGTGAGAGATGACAAAAGCCTATCAACTGGCTGCATGCCATAGCCTGGCTCATGAGGCCATGGTTGCGCTATGTTTTTTCAATCTTTGCTTACTAATATATTTCCTCGGTAACGTCATATTTATCTAGATGGTCATCGAAGTAGCCTCAGCACCTGGGTATCAAGAGGAGGTAATTAACTCTAGGTATCAACCGCGGGGCGTGACATTGACTCAAACAAGGTCACAACATTCTTGGCCAAATCAAGAAGATTGGAACTGTACAAATGGATCATCCACATTGGTGATCTACATGTTCAACGATGGGAGGGATTATTGACACCTATTTACTCGCCAACAGTATCTGCGGAATTGAGGAATGGTGTATGCCTTCTTTTGAGACGATTAGTGAAGGTTTCGTCAATATGGCACCCTTCAGGGAATTCCACAACTTCCTGTTATGAACGTTATAATGAATTTTAATGCAAGTTATTTGGTTATGTATTCAAAAGTTTTGTCTTCATAAGAGTAATGTAGTGCTTGTAGGACCAGCGAAATAACACAAGTATTTTGGACAAATTATCCGTCAGGTCAAACGTATTTCAAACTTGGAACACCGATCACTGAGAGAAATGTAATTTATTTTAACTTGTGAAGTCGGACATGAATTAGTTAGGTGATACAGTAGACCTGCAACGTGTGGCAAAATAACCGCAACTTACCCACTGTCGTTTTATTCACTGGGGATTTATATACATGTATTCCCAACAAGATTTGTTTTGTTCTCTAAGCGTGCTAGAGAAGCAGAATATCCTGGTCGACAGGTTAGTATGAACCAGAGTGAAAAATTGTTGGGTGGTGGTGGAAACTCAACTTACACTGTTTCATCTGACTCTAGTGAAGCAAGAATACTAACTGATCGGCACACGTACGTTTGTTGGGTTTAATCGTTCAACCTTCATTAGTTAGTAATATCGAGAAAAGTCACTAAGTCTGGTCTCAGCTTTTGCTACACAATAAGGGAAGCAAGTAGGGTCAGGGCTGTCTTGCTCAAGCACACAAACGTTCACTAGTAAGTGGGAGAAAATGGGAATTGTTTATTATATTTATTTATTTGAACACATAACATAGGCAAAATGGGGCATCAAATACATATGCTAAACACAATACCAGTGGGGCCAATGGTAGTTATCGTCGATTTGTGTGAGGGCTGTGATGTCAGGGTTTCCAAAGCGAAGTAGATGGCTTTCTTAAGAAGCCACCCCCGAGCCTCCACAAACTGTGGAAGACAATAACTACTGGCGATGATGCTTTTATTCTAATAGCGTATTATTGGTAGACTTAACCGTTAATCCCTGTTTGCATATCTGTTATACCGATGACAGTCTGACACGTATATACCAGCCCATCTAACTGACCTATTTGGTTAAACATAATTATTTTCTATATAAAGCATCATGATACTTTCCCTGTTAAGGTAAGGAGACAGGACGTAGAAGCTGTTTTCTGCATTGAGCCTTGGGTAAATACGAAATTTTTTGTTAGTTTAGAGGTAAAACTGTAACAAATTGGGTTGATTACTTAACAATTGGATGTAAACATCTTAGTAATGTCAAAATATCAGAGCTTAAGTATGTATCCACTTCATATTTCCTATTATTCTGTATTGAATGTCGAAAAAACCTTGTGTGTTTGAAAAGGATAACTAGGCGCTCAATCTGTTCTGCTCCACGATCTAACTGAAGACCTATTCACTACTAGTCTGTCTTCTTCGAAAGATCAAATGAAGCTTCTCACCAGCAAGAAATAGGTGGGCCCCGTTTTGAACACAATGTTAATTTCTGTTTTGCTTATTACTTTTGTTTTCTTAGTCGTAGAGTAAACCTTCTGATCATCTTCAACATAAACTCCTTATATGTATATGCGTTTACATATATATTGTCCTTTATCAAAAAGTATTCGTGTTTAAGTTATTCGTTACGCCTTTCATGTCACATTAATATATATATATATATATACTCTTCCCCCTCCTTCAGTTGTCAAAGAAGTCTGTGACTTAATTTTGAGTCCACCAACATCTAAACCACACACCATTTTCAAACGAGAGATAATGAACCATCTCTATCTGTCAGACGACCAAAGAATCTAAAAGATTTTACAAGGAGAAATGTAGGATGATAGTTTGTAGTGGCATTGAACAATAACCGCACAATCCACAAAGCTGAACACGAGACTACTCAGAAAATAGATATTCAATATTTAACGCGGATAAATACCTAACGATGGAGAAGGCGCGAAGAATGAATTGAATGGACTGGAGTTGATCGAGTGGCATGGCTCGGCCATGCAGGCGTGGTCTCTGCTGAATGTTACCTTATATCTTCTATTCATATTAAATACATTGTTCTTTCTCTAGCCTAACCTTGTTCTTCACCATGTATTGGTAATTGATACGATACAGTGAGTTGGTGTAGTCGATGGTGTGACTTCCACGTAAGATCTTATAGATTAGGCAGTTATATCATGACAAATCTACAAATTTAGGATTAGGTCTATTATTAGAGCAGTACTAATATCATAGTAGACTATAATTCTACATTGGTGAGCCCAACTAAAGAAACTCAACCCATTACTGTTAATCCTTATTTCCACCTTAACCTCAATCGGTTTTTATTTTTGTAAACCCAGTATTCGTATAGTCCTTTGATTAATGGTCACATATATTATCGTAATGTTATATCTATTAGTTCACATAACTTACTAGCTCAATCGATTATAAAAGTTGATCATCTATTTCAACTAATTAGCTTTGATGGTTCGTTAACAAGCTTTAATAGCATTTAAATGCTTCAGCGACATAGACTTGTTTAAACATCAAGCTTTAGCAAATATAATCTGTAAATAGAGTAAATATACATTGACTAGCAATGTAATCAAGGACTAAATAGTTATCTGGATCTAATTCTCAGTGTTCCTTCACTTAACACCTCATCCTGTTTCAAATTAAGCACTATCCTGTAATATCTTTTCTTCCGACCACTGCCTGCCTAATTTCATATTTTCGAGTTCCACTGCCAAACAACAAGGATGACACTTCTCCAAAATAAAAAATACGGTGAGTTCCAGCTATAAGTTTTCTGCAATCATAAGTTCATTTTAGATGGCACACACAATTATCTGGATTCATTCAGTTGCTCTGATCAGAGCGAGTCCCAAAGATCTCAACAGCATCAAGCACCCTGGAAATGATTGCCATACTGTATGTTTTATTCTGGATGCTTTTGGATCATTACTACTCCTCACGAATGACGTTATATATGTCGTCCACTGAATAATCTAATTTCCAGAAATAACCCAGGCGAGTTCAACTATTTTACTTAATGATTTTTTGTACTTAACATGTATATGTTTTCCAGTTGCTTTTGCCATATATTTGTAAGTGTCCATAGGCTAAATGCAGTAACTTCCTATGGAATATCCATAACGCGTCATATTCCTGCCTGAAGTTTTACAAGCAGTCTTAATTTTAAAATTATTTATCTGGTCATGTTCATTATTTTTAAATTGTCATATACGTCAACAACCTGCATGTTAACCTGGCCCGTACATACGTTACACTATATCTTCATGTCTTCTAAATTTAGGAATCATCTGAATCGCCTTTAACATTTATCAATAAACCCATCATAGTCGTTGTTGCTAATCGTATTTGGGTTTATGGATTGGTTTATCATATTAGCAGCCTAAAATACGAACATAGTTTAGATAATAAGATTAAAAATTTAGGTACTATCAACTGCACTAGTAAAATAACTAAATCCCCGGGTAGCTGTTGGCTAAACAAAACTCCGTAGCCTACTAGAATTAACACTAAACGAATATTTCTGAATTGAAATTTATAATTAAATTAGGCGTCTCGGATTCTTTAGCGTTATAAATTTCTGATAATTTCGAATCACCTAAAGCAACAATACCTATTTTCCGACTGACTAATCCTCATTCAACACTATAACTAGTTAAACTTAATAGTTTCAGGATATCGTCATAAAGCATTGTCACGACTTGACAATCACGTAATATGATTGATAATATTAATGAAACTATTAACATAATCGGTCAGCAAATTGACTTATAATTATCACTAGTGTTGTTTTTCTTTTATCTTCATTCACTACAGATGATTACAGTATGTTTCTCTATCAGTTGCTCATTAAGTAAATATCTCAAAACCTTGTCAGTCTAATTGATGGTTTAGCGACACAATCATGCATGCAAATAATCGGTATAAGCAGTCGAGCAAATCTCCTGCAAACTGAAAACATCAATGTCGAATTTACCCCAACACTGACTAAGGTTCAAGCCATTATCATAGACATGAGTTGGGAGTGTACTCCCCCTGGTTACAACTTATGTTCTCCCTGATAATCACATGAGCATCACTCACTATTAATCATCTTGTAAAAACTTATTTAGCTAAATACATCTTGCAGCACCACATCACTTCGTAATATGACACATAGGCCTAACTGATTTTAATAACTTATAACCACTATATCTCAATTAAAGCGTATTCCGCCTTATGACAAACTGCATACTTGCAACTAACTTGTATGCACCATCAGCCGGTAGGTATA